TTGGAATTCCTTTTCAACTATGTGTGTGTGTGAGATGAGGCTGTAAATACATATCTTGGTACATAATAACTCTGCGGTCTCTTAGTGGCACCAAGCAAAATTCCTCATATTGTTACACAAGCATTTTAAGGATGTTCATACTATAACAATACCCCAATTAATTGGAGCTTGGCCTATGACTGAGTGCTAGGATCACATAAATTTTTGGTTCGGCAGCACAGACATCAAACCGATGCCTCTTTGTCTGTCTCAACCCTCACAAAAAATATGCTGTGACCTAAACCAAGACGCAAGTTCTTTATGAGTCTTTCGTTAACGCGCACTTCACCTGTGGAGCAATCTCTTTTCCACAATTGACTGACCTGTCGAGCAATTTAAAGAAGAAAGCAAAAGCAAATCATTCTTTTAGTTGACATCTTTTTTCATGGTGATGGTTCTCGAGCCGCTTAATCTGAGTTAATGTCATTTAACTTAGATCTGTTCGTCCTACAATTAATTTTTTTTTTTTTTCAATGAGATCGTAGAGAAAGAGAAATACGTTTTTCATCTCCCTCTGAGACGTCCTCTGCACTTTTTCTTTGCTCACCAAGATAAATTCTGCTGTTTGGAAATATTTCCAGTCTTGAAAAAAAGAAAAAAACTAAAGAAGCAGCACAAACCATTCCTCCTCAGGCCGTAACCACTGTTGATTACAAGCAGTGAGCATGTAAAGCAGCAGGCTCCAGGTTTGTTACTTGTACGGTTCGACTTACTACTCAGCTAATATTAGCTGGTTAGAATACATTTGTTGTTCTATAAAAACCAAAGTCTGTAATGTTTTATGCAATTAACTATTTACTTATGAAGTCATATGCTTTTTAACTTCTATGTATTGGATGTATTGTATGTGAATGCAAATGGTTTGTGGGATGTACTGCTGATCTGACATTTGTGCTTTTATGTATGTTTTGTTTTTATGTATTTTTTTATGGTTACTCTCCTTTTGGATGAGCTTTTCTTGTTGTATTGTAGTTTTGCCCCTGCTTCCAAGACAGATTTCTCCCTTGGGAGACTAATAAAATTATCTTATCTCTTGATATATTTTGCTTGAGTATTTACATTACATCATTATATATCCTATACTTTTGGTTTGTTTGTTTTGTGTCGTTGAATGGGCCATTTTGTAGGTGCAGTGGCACATCTGTTCATTGAAATACAACCAAAAGCCATGGCTACAGTAATTAAATTCATAATGAAATTACCAACAACTACAACAACATTGAACTTGATACACCTTTTCTTTTGCCTGAGGTGCATTTCTGTTTTGAATAAAAGCAATTCGATGAGCAATTTTTACATTTTTGTGTAAATCCTGTGAAAGAGTGAAACCACTGATTTTTTTTTTTATCATACTGTGAGAATCTAATACAGCCCTATGTTTGTGGTTAAGTTAATTACTTAACTGGCACACTTGCTTCTTCAGCCTGGACCGTTTAGCGTACACTTTTTTTTCCCCATGCAAGGTCAGGATATTATGGAGAATAGATTTATTGTGACAAGAAATTGAATATGTATCACTGGGTAAGCCCCGTGACCAAATAAAATAATTTGATACAGGACATATTCCATTCATGAGAAGCCTGTATCTGGGTGTCAGCAAGATGTAGCCATGAGATATTGGCAAAACAGGCGCTGTTCGTGTCCAAAACCAAAATAGGACTCAATCATTTCATTTTGTGCTGTCTCCAGGCCCTTGCACCTCTCTCTTGGTCGCCAAGGCAAGTGACTTTTGTTTAGAGCGGGCTGTTGTTCCTGTTTGTGCCCTTCTCACCATGGCTGCCTGCTTGCCGCCTGGCAGCCCCGTGTGTCAAAGGTGGCTGCTGCAGAGCAGACTGTGGGAACAGCCGGTTAGCCTCCCTCGGTCTCCTGCTCCCCAACCAGAGGGGCAGCGATCAATCCCGCACCCCCGCCCTTTCCCCTGAGCACACATACACATAATCACGAACACACAAATGCCCGAGCAAGCTCGTACTCACACAAAAACCCTACAATGCTCACACCCTTTCCCAATAATCCTCGGAAGCAATTTCATCTCGACTCGGGTGGCGGCCCATTGTCGCCAGCCCCTTCAATCTTTCCTTATTAACTCTCGCTTTGTCCCGCATCCGAGCTTCTGGACTCATCTCTTCTACATTCCGATCAGTGCTGCTCTCAGCACTCCCAGGCAACCTCCATTCGCTAATCCCACTGCCTCCCCCCCCTGCCAGCAAACCCACCCCAAGTAGCCCTTACTGTTTTTTTTCCAACCTGCCGATCACCTACTTGCAGAGTAAGGTAGGGGCTTTAACTCCATGGGTTTTTCTGAAGGCAGAGCGTGAACGTGGGGCGGGTGAAAGAGGAGGCGGCCACAAAGTGACTCCAGCCCAGACAATTAGAACAATGAGCCCGGCATGTAGGGGGCTAACTCGCTGCGTCACGCCTGGACGGTGGGGTATTTTGTCAGTTTAATGAATTGTCCGTCAGGCCAGGGCCACATCGCAGGCTGTGCAAGGAGAGGCCAGCAGGGACCCAGACACTAAGTCGGTATTTATTACACTGCCTTTGTCACTAATTGAGCTAATTATCACTGACTCCTCAGCACTCCCACAGGCAGCACCCCCTCCAATCACCGTCTCTAACAACTCTCACACCTTACTCTCTTGGCAGGGGTGTGAACTCTGCTTTCACTTGGGTTTTTAACTACCACTTTATTTCATTGGGTTTTAATACTTCCCATCCCTCTTTGCTTTTTACAGTGCCGTGCAAGAGTATTCTCACTCAGTGAACTTTTTCAAACGTTATCATGTTAGAACCCACAAGTTTCAGTATAATTTATCGGGGTTTTAGGAGACAAAGCAATGCAAAACATGACATACTTGTGAAACCTTTAAAGTGTTCAGTTACAAAACAACTTCTAACAGAGAACAGTCTAATCCATAATTTCAAAATGAAGTGTACAGAACAACTGCAAGCTTACAAAGCCCTCAATGTAAGCTGATGAGTTGGACGAGGAGACTATTTATAGGAGAAGCAGTTAAGATATTTTTTACTCTGGAGGAACTCCTCGGATCAATGTCTCTGGTGGAAAAATTTGTCAACATCTGTTCGTCATGAATTTGATCAGATATGGCCTTCATGGATGAGTCAAGAGAAAAAAATCTTTTGTTAAAATAAAAATCATGAGAAATCCCCATTTTGCATTTTGCCACAAGCCCTGGAGGGAACACATCAATTAAATGGAAGAAGATGCTCTGGTCAGAGGAGATTTAAAAAAATTTAAACTAACCTTTTGGGCTACATGCCTAAAACTTCTATATGGTGAAGAACCAACGCTGCTTGAAGTCACCATCTCCACAGTGAGTGATGGTGGCAGCATCATGTGGAGATGCCTTTTTGCAGCAGCCAGCGTTTTTGGGAACATGGAGGAACCTGGATAGAGGCAAGCATTGGATGGATTTGTAATGGAATAGTTTAGATCGAAGGATCTTCAGCTGAAGGAAATCCAAACAAAATCCAAACCCAAACTTAATTTAGAAACTGCTGCAATCTTTGAAGATTGTTGTTCAGACACTATGCATCCAATTTATCTCAACTTGTGTTTTTGAATAGAATCAGGCAAAAATGCAAGTCTCTACAAAAGTGAAGATGGTACAGACACAGCTCAAAAGGCTTGCAGCTGTCATTGCAGGAAAATGTGTCTCTAGAAAGCATCGACTCAACGAGGTTCAATGCAAATGCACTGTTGCCTTTTAGCAAGAAGGTCCTGGGTTCAATTCCCAGTCTGGGGTCTTTCTGCAAAGAGTTTGCATGTTCTCCCTATGCTTGCGCGGGTTCTCTCCGAGTACTCCGGCTTCCTCCCAGAGTCCAAAAGCATTAGGTTAATTGGTTTCTCTGAAATTCTATTTAGGTGTGAGTGTGCATGTCGATAGACTGGCAACTTGACAGGTGTCATTCGATACCAAAGACATTTTGGGCCTCTCGCCCAAAATGTCTTGTTGGAGATAGGCACCCCACTAAGGACAAGGGTGTACAGAAAATGGATGAATGGATTCAAAAGTACTTTATTAATTTAATTTAATTTAATTTTACTGTTTGTTTTTTTCAAAGGTTCAATCAAAAACTTTGATTTGCAAATTAGCCTGTGTCTAGTTCATCTTTACACAAAACAATGGTTGGTTATTTTTATCAAGTAGCATCATTTAATCTGCTGTCCTGTGTGAAAAAAAATCAAGGATTGTAAATGATTTTGCAATATACTTTATTTCTTTCTCAAAGTTAGATTACCATTGTCATTTCTATTCATCTTTTCAATCAGTAGCTTATTCAGTCTGGCAGGTGTTCACATTTTTGTGGTAAAGTTTTATCAAATAATCTTTCTTTTATGTTGCGTATTCTTGGAATTTTTCTTTGTTTGCGGAAATTTGGTCTTGAACATTTTTATAATTGTTTCTCATTTTTGCGTGGTTCTGCACGCATCCTGTATGACATCCTCTCAGAAACTCTGCTTGCTCTCAGACTGCTCCCAGTTAAAAACTACAAATCTCTTCAAATCTCTGTGGTTAGTTGTGTTGCCAAAGTCCTGAAAAGGACTCTAGTTTTTTTTTATCATCATTATTTATTCCTTTATTTCCCCTTTCAGACATTAGGCAAATGAGGCAAATGCCTTCAATCTCCATCCATATACTGTATGAGATAAGTTATGTGGCTGGATAAGCAGAGCCTGTCTCTGCGCTTCAGAGCACAGATGCAGGGATGCTTTGTGAGTCTGCAGAAAGAGGCTGCTTTGCCAGTGGTAATAGGATTAAGCAAAGGACACCCAGGGACCAGCTTATGTGTTCACTTTCTCTATTGTCAAACTTATTACACAAAACAGAACGAATATCAGAGCTAACAGCATCTCAGACACATTCAGAAGAGCTGGCTTAATTGAAAATATAACCTTTATTTGTCTATCATACAGTAAAAAAAAGAAGAAAGAAACCAACTAGAATCAAAGATTTTTGGATTGAAATCTAAAAAGAGACTGTTCTGACAATCTTCTATAACAGTATAAAAATCATCAAAAATAAATATTTGTATTTACACTCATAAAAAAAGTAAATATTCAGTGCATGACCAAACAAACAAGTGTTTTCTTTGCAGAAAAATAGAATTTCCTGGTTCTAGCAAAAGTTAACTTTTGTCAGCTACATTAACTAAAAAGGGGGAAAATACATTTAAACATATCCTGAATTGACTCCATTCTGTCCAGTCACTGATGGCCAAATAAATCATTTGGCAAATTGACAAGCCCCACTTTTATAAATATATTTTTTGCTATTTTAATACCTACATCCAGTGGTGGTTTGTGGTATATGCCAGGACGAAATTAAAAAGGAATGGGGTGACCGACAAGGTCACATGTTTTCTGCATATTATCCGTTTGCCCTGTAACTCTGATAATTGCTTGCATTTAATTTTTTTGGAGCAGCAATAAGAGGGGCTCACCCAAGAACCACAACTGCTTGCATCCTTTTGGTTTTCTTAGCTGATGCACACTATGACTGTCTTCATAGTAGTTTTATGATTTGAGAAATATTTGCTGCACATTACACCTTTTAAACATAATAATTTGACCAATTTTAACTACACTAAGCATAGATTACGTCATGCTGGACACGCTTGTTTTTGCGCCAGCTTCGTCATTCCTCAATACTAATGCAAAACTTAACACAATATTCAGTGTATTCATAGTACATTCAATTAATGTAGTTGTCTCGTGACTCACTGTGAATTTGCCAGCACTTTTCTGGACAGGAATTCAAGTGGCAAATCTGTTTTCTCGGTTTTGAGAAACAGAGGAATCCAAAGAAGCGAAGGCAGCCGGAGGGAAATTAGAAGTGGTTGGGAGCACCCAAGCTCTACGTAAACAAGCAGAGTCGAGAGTGTTCCTTGCCTGGAAATAGGAGAACATATTTGTAGCTCTCTGCTCTGTGGCTTCAGAAACATCTGTGAAACACTGCCCTGCTTCCCACTTAGACATTAGTTGATGGTTGCAACAATCTGTTCGCTAAATCCTTTTATTTCTGTGCTATTCTCGGCGTGGTGGGCGATTTCCCTTCGGCATAAATATCTGTTGTGTTCCAATATTTGCTGAAAATAATGGTTAAAAAGTAAGCACCTGTGTTCCTTTGATACCCTGTTGATACATGTGTGCTTTTCTTTGTCTTTCCGAGAGACAGAGAGAGAACAGAAATGTTCTTTTTGTCATTTTACCTGGATTTAAACTTTCATGCCCTCTCTCGAACACCTTATCTTGAGAGCCTCACGTTCTCTAAAGCAACAACCTGCTTTGATTTTTTTTTTTAAAGTTCTATTTTTGTCTCCAATACATCACCAAATATTAACTCAAATGTTTCACCTCCAATCATAGACATTGATGTAATGTTCGTGTGCTAGTGCAGTTCAGGCAGCTGACATGACAGCACCAGTGGAACGTGCAGTGGCAACGTTCAGTCACGCTCTCAGTCTGAGTCTTAAATCCACGTCCGCAGCACAGCAGCTCGCATCCGTCCAGGCCTGGAGACGAGCTGTTGCATGTTCTTCCAGAGGTTCCCAAAGTGCCAGTTTTGCCATTATAAGAGCAAAAGTTTGGCGATTTCTCAAAGTAGACCAAGTCCATGGACGACGGTGGTTTGTGAGCTGGGTTTTCTGGCTCCAGATGTCTGGGCTCGGCTCGGTGAGAGGCACGGTTGCTGCCCTTGTTGGCATAAATGACTCTGGACGCGCCGTCAAAGCGTTCCTTGAGGAAATCTCCCACCGTGCGGAAACTGGGTAGGCGCATCCAACAGGTCCGCACTGTGCAGGAGCCAGACATGCCATGGCACTTACACTCCTGACGCATCTCTGAGGAGACGGTCTGTTGAGGGAAGAACCAGAACATAAATCACCAAAATGTCTGATGCCAAACTGTTGGCTCAAACTGCAACCGTTCAATTGTTACCATTCTTCCAGCCTCGTTGTTGTGTAGGTTGGTGAGGTATCGCAGATCTCTGCCCCTCTCGCTGGAGTCCACAAACTCCCGGCTGAACATCTTGCCAAAGTCCACATTGTCACTGCAGCCCCCCCAGTGCCAGTCTGGGCCTCCAGGACCTCTGCGCCGATAATCACATGTACACGACTCAATAGCCCCTTCAGAGCAGGATCTTGCCACAGCGTGAGTCACTCCAGCGCTGGTGATGGCAAACACAAACGCTGTCTCTCTGCAACCTGAACAAGCGTCAAAACTCTCCATTAAGAACTTACACAACATTTCAGACAATTATTATTTTCTTTTGACTGAAAGTTGGAAAGTATTTATGAGTAAATGTTCACACTGTATCCTGCTTAGGGCTGTCCAAATATACCCTGAGGAGAGAGACAAGAAAGACTCACCACGATTGACAATTTTGCCAAAAATTGCTGGACTGTAGGTGGTTGGGCAGTTCCAGCGGCGGTTGCGGAACTGCCACTTGCACTCCTTTATGGCTGTGTGCAGCCCTGCTGCGATGGCGTGCAGAATGCCAGGATTCTGGCGAATCAGCCGGCGCTGGCGACGACTCAGGAGGGCCAGGCTGGGATCCAAGACCAACTGCACACTCTTGGAGTTGGTGAGGAGGTTGGACGAGGAAGCCACATTGACTATGCCCCTGAGATGAAGATAAGAAGGAAATTAGAGAGCAGTAGCTGCCTCTTCATTCACATGCGTCCTGTTGACACTCTAAGCTAGGCAATGACAATTCTAGTGTTTATTTGTAATGTCAGAAATCACTGTACTGTAATAGGAATTGATTCATTCGGGCCAAAATGCATCAATTGTAACTGATCAATTTACGTCAAGGGAGAAAAACTTGTATGTATGGTTTTGATTGGTACTTTCGTTGATCATAATTTCTTTTCACCGGTCCAGAAATGACTATCAATAAATACTGCATAAAAGTATGATCGGATGCATTTATTGTGTGCACAGTTGTACTATATTTAATCGGTGGCAGTAAAACGTGAGTTTTGCCTTCGGAACATTTAGATAAACGACAGATTTACAGTCAGCAGACTGTGATGAACGTTTCATCATCACTTTTATCATCATTGTAATAAAAACCACAAAATCTTGTGGCAGAATCTTACAGCCACATTGTTGCCCACCCCTACTCTGAACTCTCACATGGATGTCAACAGAGATCTCATGGGTAGTGTGGTGCCTTTGAAATTACAGTGTGCATTCTGTGCTACAACAATAAGCAGTGACACATGTATTCTGACAAAACAAGGAAACGTTCAGGCTCTGAGTCAGAATACACGTTGTGGATTTCTCTGGGAATCACATGCTCTATCTATCTATCTATCTATCTATCTATCTATCTATCTATCTATCTATCTATCTATCTATCTATCTATCTATCTATCTATCTATCTATCTATCTATCTATCTATCTATCTATCTATCTATCTATCTATCTATCTATCTATCTATCTATCTATCTATCTATCTATCTATCTATCTATCTATCTAGCTATCTATCTAGCTGGCTCTCTGTCTGTCTGTCTATCCATCTGTCGTTTTAATCGTATGATGTTTAATATTTGTGGTCTATTTTGCCACTAATGTTTCCTCGGTTCCGGTCCAGTTTCAGACCGGAGCCCCTCAACGCCCCTTTTGGTGCTCAAATGTTGGAACATTCTGGATGTTTCGTTGCGCATCCTAATTTTCGACTTCCTCTTGTATTGCTGTTAGTTTTTTTATTTGTTTGTTTGTTGTTGTTGTTTTAATGTGCGCCTTCTGCCAACTTGGACTCCTGTAATGATCATGTCTCCTGATGAGCATTATCATCCAGGAGAAAGTTTAAAGAAACAAATATAAATAAATCTCGGCCTCCTCGGAAGCGGCTGACCTGCGCTATAGTGAGGTGAGGCCTGGCATCATAAATAATAACAATCCCTATTTTGGAGAGACATTTTCCTCTTTCCATTGCTTCAATTTCCCTCTTGTTTTATTCATTTATTATTTTTTTCTTTTCTTGGATTTCAGCGGGCATTTTAAATACTTTTCTCAACTAATGTAATGACGCCACAATAAAAAAAAACATTTCATTTTTAAATTTTTTAATTTGTTTACAGTCAAGCAAGGAAGTACTCTAAACCACGCACTTCGGAATTTATTTATGGATATAGATATCTTTATATTTAGCCATTTGAAATATAGTGTGGCTCTCTGTGTTAGTTTGAGGTCAGAGGAATTTGGAGACCCCGAACAAGACCTCGCATGGGTTTCCTCTCAGCTATGAAATAAATACATTTTTTTTATTTATTCCACACTGCGGTGAAGAAAAAAAAAAAAAAAAAAAAAAAACGTCAGACACTTTCGGAGCCGGGGGAAAAAAATGTCCAAATGAAACGTAAAGCTATAATTATTATATCTAAATCGTTTATTTAACGAACTGTAAATTAAATCTTAATGACGAATCTTTGAGCCGAAGTGGAGCAAATTTGGAAAAGAAAGCTAAAATCCCACAAGTCGTATTACCGTGCGGTTTCTCCCCTTTCTCTCCCTCTTTCTCTCTCTCTCTCGTCTCCTATAGACGAGAGAGAGAAAAAAACTCCACAGAAGTTGTGAACCTTTCCAACACAAACAGATTATCTCGAGCGTGCAAAGGAGAACTGTGGTAACCCAGTAAAAAAAAAAAAAAAAAAACGCATGCAAAGTGTTGATGCAAAGGCAGCCGGGATGCTGCAGAGGCTGCGGAGCCCCGTCTGCAGCGCGCTCACCACCACCGGCCGCTGTTGTTCACGGCCCCTGTGCGGGAAAGCGAAGACACCAGGAGGATGCAGGCGGCTTTCACTCCCAGCAGCAGAGCCAGACTCCTCATCGTGGCTTCGGTTCAAACATGCTGCACGGAAAAGGACCAATTTCACAAGCGCAATAATAATAATAATAATAATAATAATAATAATAATAATAATAATAATAATAATAATAGTCGATTTGTTTCATTATCTGCACAACTGCTTGCAAATTCACTCACCGACGAGAAGATCTGACAGATGCTGGGCGTCCTGATTGACTCAAATGGATCCTGAGTGGAGACAGGTTCCCTGAATGATGTGAAGTGTCCAGGCAGGATGCTGCTGCTGGTGTTGCTGCTGCTGCCGTCCTCTTCACTCTCTCTATCTCAGTGATGCTCTGCGAGGCGCACTGAACGCGTGGGACAGTCCCGAAGATTTGATCCCCTCGGTGACTGATAGGCAACACATTCTTCTCTTATTGAGCGCTACGAGAGGAATAAAAAAGGGATTTGCTGCTCTCATCTCCCTCTGTTTTTCCCCCCCTCTCTCTCTCTTCCTCGCTGCCTTTTCAATAGGATTGGAGGGAGGGATAGTTAATGCTCTTCATAGGGGCGCACAATGAATGAGGAAACACAACTGAGCAGAGAAGAGAAAGGAGAAGGAGGTTTTTTTTGTAGAAAAAAAAAGAAAAAAAAAGTCCACATCAGACTTGCACATATTTACTTGTGAAATATCACGGCCATCCCTTGGAAAGGTGTGCGTCTCACAGCGTTTCCTGGATAGAGCGCGCGCGCGCGCCCTAGAAGTGCCTGGTCTGACGTGTTGATGCTGCAGATGCTCTGCTGCTCCGGCGCCGCTATCACCGTCCCGCACAGTCACAGCGGAATATGAGCCATCCGAAACTGCCCTTTGAGCTGCCTACTCCCCATAACCGCATCTCCTCCTCTCTGCAGTCCTTCTAAAACACGCGCCCGGCCCAGCAAAGCTATACGGTTTCACCTCTCTCTCCTTCCCGACTTAAAAAGTCCGGGTTTATTTGGGTTCTTTTTTCCCTCATAATTAATATTTTTTTGGAAGTGCCTTTTTTTTTATGGGGGTGGGGGCAATAAAACTATCGTCGCCTCTCCATAACGTGCGCGCACAAGGCGACGTGAATGCTGATTGAAACAGTAACACAGTTGTCCTATTACTCACACTGCCTGCTGAGCTACTTGAATTTATTAATTTTTTTTTCAAACGCGGCACAGATGAAATATGGCCTCCAATCAGAAGTTTGATGCATGATGAAGCAGGGTAAGAGGGGGGACGAGTAAGGATATATATATATAAAAAAAAGAAACCAGCCTTAACATCTGGCTTGCAGACCTCCCTCGACGCATGAGTAGCGCAGCGTAATCACAGCTTGAGCCACTTTGCGGCGCCTCCATCAAACTACACGACTTGGTTGCGAGTCTAAATGTCCCCAAAACAGCGTATTGGAAACGAATGTTTCATTATGTGACATGCGTTCTGCTGATTTGCATGTTCGACTGATCTGCATCAACCCTCTTTCTCTCTCTCACTCACTCCCCTTCTCCTCGACTTTCTCTCATATCTGTGGATGACAGTAAAAGGAAGTGGGTAAGTAAAGGAGAGAAAGAGAGAGAGAGAGAGAGAGAGAGAGAGAGAGAGAGAGAGAGAGAGAGAGAGAGAGAGAGAGAGAGAAAAGCTTTAATGACAGCCATCCCCACGCTTATACCCCAGCTTTATATATGTGAAGGTGCTCAAAGGGGTTTCCTGGAGCAGTCATGCGACACCGAGCAGATTAGAGCTTCAATCCGGATAAAGGGGAGCCTTTTATATACAAATCAACTTCAAATCACTTTTTAAGCCACTTAGATATACACACCAAGGCAGAATGCTAATGCACTTTTCATTGCTGCAGCTTAGGGAATGGAAGGAGATTAGATGAATTGGTGTCACTAAGCGAACCGTGTTCGATGGGACGGAGGGGGGGCGGGGGGTGGGTGGGTTAACTTAATTTTATGAAAGTAGCTTGGCATGCACGCTTTATTATGCCTTATTTGGACAGGCCAGAACAGAAACAGCGACCGACACCGCATCAACTCAAACGATCCGCGGGCTGGTACTCAGCAGACCCGGCTTGTGCGCTTTTTCGTTTTGAGCGAAAATGTTTTGAGAAAGTCTCAATTTCTTCTCTTCCAGAGACACACGCTTTGGTGAACAATTACGCCTCTGACTGGAGTCCGACCTGTCGCTTGAAACCTATGCATGTGCATCTATACTTGTACAGCTGATGGCTGCACTGACGAGAGTGACGTCGTTTGAAGCCCGACAACGAGGAACAGCCGCTCTGATGGAGGTGGGAGGTATGGGATGGAGAGGGACGGGGCGGTGGGGGCGCGCATGACTAAAATCAGTATTGTTGGAGGGTCTCTGAGCTGAGCCGCTTGCCTGCTGCTGCCTCCCTGTCGTACAGTGGAAGGAGCAGCAGCTCTACCCTCCCCCGTCCATTAAAAAAAAAACAATAAATGAATGAATAAATAACGCCGTTGTAAGACTAAAATCTTCAAAATTTTATCTCTGTTAATTTTTTTTATAGGAGAGGCCTGATCTGCCATATATGCAAAAACAAAACCTAAATAAATAAATAAATCGAATTTAGGAAAATTTACTTTAAATCCAAATAATGTAGAAAAAAAACACTCTTCTGAAGCTCTTACGAAGCTTCGCACCGTTTTGCTTGGAGAGCGCCCGCGCGTAAAAGTTTGGAGACATCTTGTTTACGCCCTCCAGAATGACCGCCACCTCCAGCAGTATGACAATCATATTGGCAATATATATATATATATATTGCAACAGTCGCCTGTAGAGGCATCCACTTCCCTCCCCTAACCCCTTTTCTCTTCCCCCCCCCCCCCCACCCCTCCTCCAGTTCACTCTCGCCCCCGAGCTCGTCTCTTCTCCGTCTTCACTACTCGCTCGTTTGGCGCCGCATCGATAATAGGCAACTCCACGCATTTCCCCTACTTTTTTTTTTTTATTATTATCATTATTTTTTTTGTTGCAATATTCTTATTTAACTACAGGTGGCTTATTATCAGAGTTTTAATGTCCCGTCGCGACAGACGCTCAACAAAATGGAGCTATCAAACAAACTCCGTTGGAACCAATTCCTGATTTTGGCAACAGCACTTATGTCACCTGCGTTAACGTAAGTGCACTCGAGAGTTCCTGGAGAGCTGACTTGCTTTGGCGGGATGTTGTTATATATATATATATATATATATATATATATATATATATATATATATATATATATATATATATATATATATATATATATATATATATATATATATATATATATATATATCTATAGCTGTTCATTTAAAAGGTGATACATCTGGATTTCATTTTGCAGGCTAATATTAGAATAACATGAATCATTGTTTGGCAGTCTGCGTCTAAGCTGTGCAATTATAAATCTTATCAGCGGTTTAATCTGCTTTCGATTATTTTTAACTGTGTTGTTTATCTACAATTATATTTCTGCTGCAACTAACACAGAGCGACTAACACCAAAGCACATAAACATTCCTTCTGTTTCCTGCAGTTTATACAACACATCCACATAAAAGTATTTTATTTTGTAGAATAGCAAGTTGAAATCTTTGCTGTTTATTTTATTTTATTTTATTTTTTTAGAGCCTTCTTAGTATTCAGATCACACTCCCACTGTCACATTCTCTGGGTTTGTCTGATGAACTCCTCACCAGCTCTGATGACAAATCCCACGAACCTCTCTCTCTCTCTCTTCTCTGCAGGGTGCTATGTAATGATATCCTTAGCCTGAAGGTGGCAGGAGATCCAGTTCTAACCCCTCACTCTGTGTGCCTGAGACTGGTAGGCCTCAGCAAACGTCAGATGCGGATGTGTATGCGTAGTCCCGACGTGACGGCATCCGCCCTGCAGGGCATCCAGGTGGCCATCCACGAGTGCCAGCACCAGCTGCGCGACCAGCGATGGAACTGCTCCTCGCTGGAAAGCTTCGGGAAGCTGCCTCACCACAGCACCATCCTCAGCAGGGGTGAGAGGTTCAGGGAAGCTTACACGAGTGTCAAAGCCAGTCAGAGTCTTGAGCTGCTTTGATACGTGAATGACACATTTAGGATGACACTGTTCGTCAATTTCGTCTGTATGTTTGTGTGTTCTCATTGGGAAACCCCAGGTTTTCGCGAGAGTGCCTTCTCCCTGGCCTTGCTGGCAGCGGGTGTGGCTCACTCCGTGGCCTCTGCCTGCAGCATGGGCAAGCTGCGGGGGTGCAGCTGTGAGGCCAAACGTCGCCAGGACGATGACAAGATCCGGCTGAAACTCACACAGCTGCAGCTGCAGACTCTGCAGAAGGGCGGGGTAGGCATCGGCATGACCAAATCATTACCCTCAGATCTAAATGGGCACCATGGGAACCTACCGCCCGACCTCCACTCTGCCCACACATCTGCCATGCTCAAGCCTTTATCAGATGACATAAGCTCTATGCAGGACACCTGGATGTGGGGGGGCTGCAGTCATGACTTGCGGTTTGGGGACCGTTTTTCAAGAGACTGGCTTGATTCCCGTGGCTCTCCTCGGGACATCTATGCACGCATGAGGATACATAACAACCGCGTGGGGCGACAGGTAAGTGATGTGCTTATTCATATCGGCAGTTGTAGCCCTTGAACTTTTTCACATTTTGCCTCGATCAACTCCCACACTTCAATGTGATGATTTTATGTGACAATCTATCACAAAGCAATGTATACGTTTCAAACGGAAGGGCAAATGTACACAGTTTTGCCAAAATTTTCCTCAAAAAAAACATTGCTTTGATTAGTGAAATCCAGTGAAATTAGTGTCATGTAGAAGTCATCCAATTACTAAACAGAACAATATTACTGTCAGTGTAAACACTGACCTTAATACTGGTGTGTTCCTTCATGACACAGGCTTCATTACTGCGTCTTGAAGAAGCACACCAGACAGATAGGGATGAAGTTGTGTAGAAGTCTAAAGCGCGGTTAGGTTACACAAAAGTAGTGATAATATCTCAAAATTTTGGCATCTCACTGTTTGATTGGCTATCAAAAAAACAAATGAAGTATGGTACTAGCAGGAAGAAAGAGCAGTAATGAGGGGAGCAGTCAAGAAGTGAATGGTAACTCTGGAGGAGATGCAGAGATCCACAGCTCAGATGGGAGAATCTGTCTGGAGGACAATTATCTCGACATGTGTTCACAGGGCAAGAACTGATGTAAAAACAGCCGAAAGAAATCATGTTTTAAAGTTTGATGCAAGTCATTTAGAATCCACCAAAACATTTCCAATTAGGTGTTCTGGTCGAATGAGAACAAAATTGAAAAGTGTTGAATGCATGTGAGCTAAAAACAACGCTACACTCTGTAAGCACAGAAATGAAACATGCTTTGTTCAGCAGTGGAGCTAAATGAAGGACGATCCTTAAAAAAAAAAAAACTGTTAAAAACCTGCAAAAGACTTGAGACAGAAATGGTGGTTCATCTATGAGGATAACCACACTAAACATTCAGGCTGACCTACAATGGATTGGTTATGTCAAAGCATATCCATGAATTTAAATGGTCCAGTCAATTTTTAAACCTAAATCCAAATAAAAGTTGGTGAAGATACCATACCAAGGTATGTGCGCCGTTTTGAGCTGCACAGCACATTCCGATAAGACATATGAATGCGGAGTAGCGACATTTCAGAAAGACACTGTATAAACATGGAGCGTGTTGTGGTTGATTTGGTTGAAATACTCATCTTTCTCTACAGATAGTGACTGACAACATGACAAGAAAGTGCAAATGTCACGGCACATCAGGGAGCTGTCAGTTCAAGACCTGCTGGTACGTTTCTCCAGAGTTCCGCGTTGTTGGATCTCTGCTCAAGGAAAAGTTCTTGTCGGCCATCTTCGTCAACTCCCAGAACAAAAACAATGGCGTGTTCAACCCTCGAACAGAGAACAGTGCCCGCAGAAGCACTGGGGGGTTCAGCGGAGGGCGCCGTAGAAGCATGTCCAGGGAGCTGGTGTACTTTGAGAAGTCGCCCGATTTCTGCGAGCGCGACGCGTCGATAGATTCCCCAGGTACGCAGGGACGCATTTGCAACAAAACGAGCTACAGCACAGACAGCTGCAGCTCGCTGTGCTGCGGCCGCGGGCACAACATCCTACGGCAGACTCGCAGCGAGCGTTGCAACTGTCGATTTCACTGGTGCTGCTACGTTCTGTGCGAGGAGTGTCGCCTCACAGAGTGGGTGAATGTGTGCAAGTAGATCCAGCTTTTGTTTTGCTCTTTGTGCAACTGTTCTTGAGAATCTGTTTATCCCCCTCATTTTGTGTGTGTGTGTTTTTTTTTAACTTCCATCATCTGGGATCTATTTTCTCTGCATAGCTGCTGTGATCCCAAAATGCCAAGTCAAAGATTGAAGAGGTGACTCATGTCATTTGTCTTGCCATGGCCTGTTTAGACGCTACCCTCTCAGCCATGAAGAGGGCCCACTCTCCAGTGTTTCTACCCCACAGAAAACTGGAGAAACAGCAGAAGAGCGCTGAAGTTTCACTCTGCTTTTTTTTTAATCCATCTTGTTGTACAGTAGCTGTGTATTTTATTGTGCGAGTGTATATTTGTAAATGCACGATTTGTTAATATGATTATTGTTTCAGAGTGTTTAATGTTGGTTTTAGTGAATGACAGAACGGGAACTGCCAACATTATCTGAAAGATGAATATAAAGCTTCAGTATCTTGCCATCTTATAATCTCTTGGATTATAAAATGGATATTTGTGACTCCACAACTCACACAATACTACATGATCAAATTTAGTTAGCTCTTATTTTTATCTTTCCAGATTAAAAAAAATCTCATCCACAATTCCAATACAGTGTAAATTATGTTACGGTTCAAAAATAGTCCCATTATCTTAAAATCAGGGATTCGGGACAAACTCTTGACTCTTCCATTGAGTGATCGGCATCAAATAAAAAGTCACAAGAAGATATTCATGAAATTGTCAATTTTTTACTAGGAATCAACTCAAAATGAATACAATCAAGCTATAATACACCATAGAATTAGCCTTTAATTTAAATGTCAGTCACACAAAACAAACATCAAAACAAAGACACTACAACAGCTCTTTGTCAAACAGCACAAGATTTTTGCTTATTCCCTCACTGCCATAAGGGAATGAGCTCATGGCAGCTATCAGCCCACCATATTTCAGGTGGGCTGATAGGAAAATTGCTTTGGTTTTGGCTGGAATGTCACTCTGAAACTGTCATGCTGGCATATTGGATGCCTTAGTGCTTGAACACACATCCAAGGTGACTGGAGGGAAATTTAAATCTTGAACAGATTTACAAACAAATATAGAGAAATGCTGCACAGCTTGCCATGCTAACTAAAATATTTGGCACAACTGGATCTGTAATTAGCGATGTCTCTGCTCTGACTCGATCGAGCAAGTCTTCCTTCTTTATTTCTGAACATCCTGCAGTTCATTGAGAGCTTAAACCTCCAGGGCAGGAGACATCGCAAGGGACAGATCGACCAATCAGATGGGCACCTGGGCTAGTGTGAGAACTGCAGTCAGTTAAAACGTTGATTGATTCTGTTTTTATAAAACCTGTTCCTCATTTAAACACTCTAGCACTTGTTGAACAGTGCTTCATTACTGCGTCTTGAAGAAGCACACCAGACAGATAGGGATGAAGTTATGTAGAAGTCTAAAGCGCAGTTAGGTTACACAAAAGTAGTGATAATATCTCAAAATTTTGGCATCTCACAAAGTGTTGTTCACAAAGTGTTGTTCACAAAGTGTGACAAATAATCACTTCAGCCATAACCCACAACTGAGTCTTTTTTCAGTATATTATTTTTTCTAAAACATGTCAACATTACATTGAATGTGACCTTCACGTAAGGTTTCATTCATTAGTTAGAATTAAAAGTTGTGACTAACCTTGCATGGTTTCAAATATCATTGGGCTTTCTAACTCAAGGAATGAAATTATCAATTTTAATTGACCTTTTTTTCCAGTCTAAATTACTTGGAACCTTACCATGACTGTTTTCATTTGGATGAGCACATCAAACCATTAATATCATTAAAATCCTCACCATTTGGAGACTTCAGGAGGTCAACTGCAAGAATGAGTTCGCTTAGTCCACATCTTTGGTCCAACAAGGGCATCCGATGGATCTGGAGAAAAGCAGCTCCTTGCAGGTGAAAGGTCAAATTTAAGGTGTTCACGTTAACTACATCAGTTGGACCAAATTAATTTACATGCATTATAATTAAAATTAAAATCAGTCAAGCGATTTGTTCCATGCTAATGAGGTGTTTGTTTTGGACAGTCTCCAGAAACGACATGAGGTGTTTAAATGTCTTTTGTAGAGAGTCAAGCAACGATTTTTGGAAAAATGACTGCTGTGAAAAGGAGTCTTCCTCTTTACAGATGCTTCAGATCATCATATAAATGTATTGTCAGAGAAAGATACCAAGAAGCAAATACATAATTATCAGTAATTAATAAATTCATTCTTCAAAGGATAAATCTAATAACTAGTTCACAAATAAAACATTCATCAAACAGCCTTGATAGCTGCCACTGATTTTTTTGTGTCATAATAAATGGAGTTTAGCCCGCTTCTCTTTGCAGAATTGCTTTGATTTGTTCAAACTGGCACCACAGAAATTCAATCAGATTGAGTTCCAGACTTTGACTGGGCCATTTTAAAATCTTAATATCTGGCGGAGGTTTTGGGAGGAAAAGGGGTTGTGTATCTGTTCCCCGCTATTTTTGACTTTTGGCATGATATTTTTCTAATGCCGTACTTGTTTTCCTGAAATGTTGGTTTTATGTCAGTTTTAATGGGGCATGCACCTTTCAGAAAGTTTGCCTGTTGTCTCGTCAGCCCACAAAATTTGCACACAAAAATCTTGGGAATAATCTAAATGTTTTTTGGTTTTTTTTGGTAAATGTCATATTCCTAGCATTACATGTGGTTCTGGGTTTTTTGTGACCTCCTGGATGAGTCGTTAATAGTTTTTTTTTTTTTTTTTTTTGGATAGCCTCTCCTCTGTACCATGACTTCTCAATTTATGGATAATGATTCTCACTGTGATTCATTAGAATACAGTGAAAAGGACACTAATGCAACCCTTTTAAAACTGATCAATACCGATGACTCTACTTTTTACCTATTATTCAATGTCTTTAGATGTTTCTTTTTTATATCTGTTTGCTTGCTTCGTGTTGTCAGACGGGAACTTTTTAAGTGATTTCTTGACTGTACAGGTCTGGTAATAATCAGACCAAGCTTGGCTCGTGGAACTGAGCTGAGCTTTCCTTCAAACGTGGCTTAATCAGAGTATATTTATGATGCAACAATGGTGGCGAATCTGCATTTTGCTCTGGATTTACTCTGATTATTTTTGTCTGACAGCAGTTTTTGATCATTTTTGTTTTTGATCATCATGGGGAAAATATTTTCCCCCATTTTTACAGCACTGTGCAAATGTTTTCCCAATATGTTTGCCCTCCCAAAAAGTCGATACATGGGAGTCGATACGTCGGTTTTAAAAAAGCAATTAATGTTAATTCTGATTAATATGATACAAATATGTCTCCATTTGGTGTATCTGCAATGTGATGTGTGCTGGCTTTCTTTTATATTGTACTATGATCCTGGTTGTTCTGTTTCACTTGTTTAAGGGCTCTTTAGATTCTTCCCACATGTCCCACATGTCAAAGTGAGAGATGGACCTACTTTAGTCCTGAAGTGATGCTCAGGGTTGTGTGTGTTGGCCTGAGCGCGTGCATGGCTGTGTTTAATACTGTGTAAATGTGGGGATAAGCTTGATGCACTACAGATTTGGGAGGTGAGAGGCCTTTTTATGGCCACTCCACGCTGAGAGAAGGACATTTTATAGCCGCAGGATATTGTTTCCCTAAAAGTATGACTTTTATTACTGGAGAGCCGCATCGAGATGGAGCAGAGAGTTGGTGGTGATTATACCAGTCTTTTGCTGCATGAGGATCTGAGGGGATCATCTGTCCAGAGTTCATAGCCAAGGAGGTAACTTGTTGAACCACTCGCTGCCCGGGACGCTCCACGGCTGTTGCTGAGGGGACAGACGAGTGAAAAACATAAACACGCATCTATGGACGCATCTATGCGGGAAGACGTGTGTATGTGCTCCGACATACACACGGCACAATCAAAACCATGCATGCATGCATGAGCTGTGGATGTAGCAAAATGCTAATGTCGCCACAGGACTTGATTTATGATGACTGCATTCCTGGATATCTTAGATAATCCAAACTGTCTTTGTGCTCAGCCTGCTGGGAAAAGCCTTTCTGCCACATAGGATTTAATGCCAATTAAGTTTTGTTTGTAGGGACTTTGGTAAATATCCCTCGACTCCAGAGGAATGACAGTGCCAGTGGCTGTGCTCTCCCCCTTTTATATCTTTTTTTTTTTTTTTTTTTTTTTTTTTGAGGGAGTTGTGGAGGGGTTACGCAGGGAAGGTATAAGCAGGAGACTGCAAATGGCTTGGAATGATAAAGGCCTGGATTTCTGGTTTGCATTTCTTCATTCCTTTATCATTTCACCCTGGAGCTGCTGCATAAGGGAATTTCCTGTCACTGTTTCTCCCATGTGTGAGACAGAGGTTGGGTGGACTTTTTCTTTCTTCCCCATTCTCCCCCTCATCGTTGCAGAGACACATGCATAGCAACACATAGACTGCCCCTGTAACCACCCCCCCTTGAGTAATGACATCCAGATTGGGCTGAAATTAAAGAGAGGCAGGCCAGCCGAGGAAGTCAGGAGAGATAAAAGTCACCCGCCTTGACTGACACGATGATTATATGTATAAAGTAAGGCGATTTAGAGTGTTTAGTTGGATATGAAGATGTGGGGGGGAATAGGTCTTCTTGCCCTTCACGCAGTGGTGATGCAGCAGCAGTGGACAAACAGAGTTACTGAGATGGGGTGAATGAACTGTACTGTGTATAAAAATGTGCCTCAAAACATCTGCTTCTCAACTCCCCTTGCATTTTTTGATGTGGGACAGGCAGAGAAGGAGAGCGGGAGAGAAAACACAAGGAGCCAGCTACCCAGAACATCAAAGCCCCTGCCCTCAACGTGCAGGCCCTCATTAGTTCAGCTAGCAGAACCAGCGACTCTTGTGATTGTATTTGCTTGGGGTGCGTGCTGGCAGACACATCAGAGGAAAGGCTTCTTTAAGTCATAACTCCCCACCCTACCTCTCCCGCCGCCACCCGAGCCCGCCGTAACCCCCCTGTAACCCTTGCCGAGCTCCAAAACCGGGCCTGCTCCCCCACCATCCACTCCACCCCGTAATCTGGTGTGCAGCTGCAAACATCTGCTCCCCTTTTGATTCCCCAGCCTTCGCCGCTGAATTGATAAACACATCTTTTACCGGACCGCTGACTGACACGCAACACAGCGGAAGGAGAGAGACAAACGTTGGATTCACCCACGGCTGCCGAGCTGGTTTCAGGTTGTGTCATTTAATCACGGTGCTTTAGTTCTGGTGGATAAACAAGCATCCGGCACACGATAAAATACCAAAACAACAACCGAAGTAGATTAAACCAAAACAGATATGAATTCACTTTGTTCTGTTGCCTCTTGTGTCACTTTTATTATCTGTGACACAAGAGTGGCTTCTGCCAGGAAGTATCACTTGGCATCCAATTACAGTCAGGCAATGACTTATTCATAAAGATGATTCCTGTGTTAATTATTTAAGCATGCTTGCCAGGAGACTTTCTGTTACTTAGGATTCATTTTCTGGGCTCCTGTAACAAGACAAAAAATACATATTTTCGCTGAAAATATGTGTATTAATAATATGCTGACAGTAAGTTTTTTTATTCAGAAATGTAGAAAGACAAATGACCATTTTTCCATTTGTTTTATTGATCCAAACCGTCTTTATTTTATGAGTTTGAGAAATTTTCTATTTTTGCCATAGAAGCTGAATGAACACTTGAAATTAGTCTTCAAAATGTTACAGGTCGGTGAAAATAAATTAAAATTTGTGTAAGATATTTTTTTTTCCATCCATCCTTCCATGTGTAATACATATACAAGTATTGCACAATTAGACTACGATTGAAGTACTATTACATCTCCATAAACTAAATCAATGAAAAAGTGAACTTCATAAATTATGTTAATTAATTACACACACACACACACACACACACACACACACACACACACACACACACACACACACAGATGTATTCCAAGTGTTTTTTATTAATTAGGGGCAAAGCTAGCAGCTAATTGAAAGTGAGTTGAGTTGTTTTTCTGTTTTCTTCTTGCACTGATGCAGTACTTTATGTACAAGGGTACATTAATAAAAAATTGTGATAAAATGTCTCCAATATTTTAAAAGAAATAATCCCTGGATATGCGTAACTCTGTAAAAAAAAAAAAAAAAAAAAAAAAAAAAAAAAAAAAAAAAAAAAAAAAAACAGAAGCCAAATATAAGTTTCACATTTTAAAATTAATAAACAGACTTTTAAAGGATTTTCTGCTTTGCTTGAATGTTCCAATAATATATAAATCAAACGATAACCTTTTAATGTTGACGATTACAAGGTTATCGTGATTTTAAAAAATAAATAAATTTGACAAAACACACGCTACTGAAGCGTGTGTTTAGTGAGTTAGTTGTTTCGTACTGAATGCGCATGTATGTAGAGAGCAGCTGCGTGCCCGCAGTCCACCTGCTTTTTGAGAAAGTCACCTGAGGATGGCAAACGTGAGATGCGTTCATAGCGTCCGACATATCGCGAGAACTCGCCGCAGACAGGCCTGAAGTCCTCGCGAGACTATCATCCAGTCCTTTGCCTGCTGAATCCAGCTGGTGTCCTGCCTGCCGTTTGACGGGTAAGTGTGCATGAGATGGAAAAAAGGTGAAAATTTCAAAAGATGTGCTCAAGTTTTAATTTACGAAATATTATGTCGCTGCTCCAACGTCCTTAAACGCACCGTTCTCTCTAAATTATCGTGTTTATCGACGATATCCGGCCGTGTTTTTTTTTTTTTTGGTCGTGACTGCACGCGGGGATTACAGCGCACAAATCAACGCGTACATTTTTCCTCTGAATGCCCCCCCACCAAAAAAAAAAAAAAAAAAAAAAAAAATATTAGCTGATATCAGAAGCAAAGAGGCACACCTGACCAGCTGTCGCATCCAGACCGGAGAAACGAGTCGGAAGCCGTCGGCTGCTCGGACTGCAGCATCTCCCTTCCCTTCGCCTCGCATTATGACAGATGTATGAGCAGAGGCTCGTGTCACAGGCTGTGCGAGCTGCTCCTTCCTGCTCATGTTGTGTAAAATATCTGCTATTGGCTCTGAAACGTGACAATGATTTCCAGAGTGAGAATTAAGTGACTCTGAGGTGACATGCGTTGGCAGAAGTTGACAGCAAAGTTGGCCTAAAGGGTCAATGCCACTGAGGGCCACAGAGAGTGAACTGAACAGCATCTCAAATCTCACCGCTGCTCCCTGAAAATGTTATGAAGTTGCTGAGACCAAATGGCATTGATAATGCACGTCTTCGCTACAGAATTGATAAATAGATATCGCATGTAGGAAGTGAACGGGAAACACACAGATCAGGCGTAACATTGAGGCCACTGATGATCTTAGTGGCTTGTCTTCGGCTTTGATTTATTAGAAGTGGGGAAATAATGTGGAAGGCAAGCCGGTATGCAGATGTTGCTATGACTCCTACCAGAACTAAGCACAGTTTAAGATCACTGACAGTTTGATGGCTTTGTCCTTTTTCAACAGAGTAATGCCCTGCTGCAAGGGACAATATGACTTGAGGATCACAACAATGAGTTTGAGATGTTCGCGTGACCTCCAGGATTCTCAGATCTTAAACCAGTCGCACAGCTGTGGGTTTTTGCTGAATAAACAACTCTGATCCCTAGAAACCTCATTTAATAGTTTGACCACACTTAAGTCAGGACAATTTTCCAATAGCTCATTACTGTTTCAGTCCCTATTACACACATTCTGCCTGATTGTTTAAAGGAATAAAACATCCTACACATTTTTCTGCTTCTTTTTTCTGACTAATTCAGATTTTAGACACTATAAATAATGCCTCTCTTTTTTTCTCCTGGCTTCATTTGTTTTTGTATTTAACAGTTTTCAGAGATTGTTTTCAGATTATTCTGAAAATACGTATTGCAAACAAACAAAATTGCCAAATAGACCTTCCGTTGACTTAAATATTTGAATTAAATCTATCTTGTTTTATTCAAATTGGCAAGTTCATTTTATAAGGCTAAAATATAAAAGGGGATTTTTAAAATAATACATCTGAGATTTTTTTTTTTAAATTAAGACAAAAGGATGTTTCTTATAGTGTATTGATTGTGTGTACCATACAAACTCACAGTCTACGTTATGTGTCCTTTAACGTGCAAATTGCTCGTTCTACTTGCTTTGCTTCAGGTTCCAGCAAACAGCTGAATGGGTAGTTAACCTGCTTCACATGAAAGCTGATCCACCTAACAGCAGAGATCCAGAGAGCAGTTGTGTAAAAGTAGCTGTTTACAGTAGCAGAGTCGGGTCAGCTGCCTGAAAACGTGTGAAGTGGAATTTTACAGACTTTCCCCTTAGATGTTGCTCAGGCGCTAACATTTCGACCGTGGTTCTGGCTGCCTGAAGTCACGGGAAAAAGAAAATGACGGGAGGAAGCTAGTAGCGGCCAGATTCTGCTAATCAAACGTACATGAATATTTCGATCGTCAGAAAGTGTGACCACCTCTGTGGAAGCAGGAGTTTTGCTCGTTTGTTGGTCTGGATCACGTGTGAGTCAGCCTGAAGCCAAGTAGGGAAGACATCAGCAATGACCTTTGGGAAGCAATCATTGTTGCCCATCAATCCAGGAAGAGGCAGCGGTTATTTTACCAAAGTTCATGGCAGAGGCATTAGAAAAAGATTGAACATGCTTGAAAAGGTTGTAAGGAGAAGGTTCTTCTTTTAGACATCCACCCGCAAAACCCACAGGTCTACACCCGCTTAGGGCCATCAGGGGACCCTTCGCTGAAACAGCCATTGGGGTGACAAGCGGAAAACGTCAGTCCGTCACAGGCTACGTTATGTGTCCTTTAACACATAACGGGGTCTAAAGTGTCTAAAGGGGTCAAAGGGTCCCTTTAGACACATTAGATCAAATTACAGATATTTAATCACAGCAACTGATCCTTCCACAAGACAATGAGGCAATTGTGTAAAAAGAAGATCAAGTCATTGCTTCTAAAACCAAATCCTGGAGTGTACTTAGACTGTAATGTTGGTAGAGGATGCTTTTCTTTTTTTCCTTCGTGACTGTATTTGCACCCGCTTTGCTGCTCAGTCACCTGTCTCACAGTTCTGTTGCAGCTGAGGTCCGAGTCATCATGGGAAACATCTTTGGGAACCTGCTGAAGAGCCTGATAGGCAAAAAAGAAATGAGGATCCTCATGGTGGGCTTGGACGCCGCCGGGAAGACCACTATCCTCTACAAGCTGAAGCTGGGGGAGATTGTCACCACCATCCCCACAATCGGTCCGTGACGAGAGAAGAAGAACCCAGCCAGTCCGCGTGGCGATGAGCATGTGTCTGACGCCTCAACTCCATGTGCTGTGTCTTCTTGTCCAGGCTTCAACGTGGAGACGGTGGAATACAAGAACATCAGCTTCACCGTGTGGGACGTGGGTGGCCAGGACAAGATCCGTCCCCTTTGGAGACATTACTTCCAGAACACTCAAGGCGAGCTCAGGGACTTTTTTATCAGTTTTGTCGGATTACAAAAGGATCCCCTTTTTAAAATATTTTGCACACACACACACACAAACAAGAACTGAAATGTTTGATGTGCATTTGAATCCAGTCACCTCCTTTTTGATCCTGTTAAAAACATAACAGAGTTCTTTCCATCCTCTCAAAATAGAAAGAGGGAAAGTGTAATTGGTGGGAGCCAATGGGAAGTTAGAATCTATTGCAAGACTTGAAAATCTTATAAAAATATTGTTTTTAAAAGATTTACAATTGTAAATGCATCAGAATCGCTATTTCAAAGGTCATAAACTAATGCGCAGCACATTTTAACAGATTTTTTCTCCTCATTTTCATTCCGCTTGATATATTTTGTTACATAAAATTCCAAGCTTCTGCACTTTGTTGCTAACGAGACAGCAGAACGCTCGCCTACAGCACTTGAGGGCACATCTGACTAATGCTTCAGCTCAGCTTCATTTGCTGTTTCAGATTACCATTATACATTTTGAAGCAACCTTTAACAGAATTTGTTTTAACAACATGTAAGTCGTTTTATTGTGACGTTGGGGGTTAAGTTTGTTTAATCTTTTCACTCTCTTTCTTTCCATGCAGGTCTGATTTTCGTGGTGGACAGCAATGACCGCGAGAGGGTCAACGAAGCCCGCGAGGAGCTGATGAGGATGCTAGCCGAGGACGAGCTGCGGGACGCCGTTCTTCTTGTCTTTGCCAACAAACAAGTAAAGTCCTCTTCATATGTCACGTGCCTTCTTTCCGTTTTTCCCTTCAGCCGAGGGGTTTTCTCACCTGACCGCTCTGCTCTGCGTGGTTTTTGCCCAGGACTTGCCCAACGCCATGAACGCCGCAGAGATCACGGACAAGCTGGGCCTGCACTCCTTACGCCACCGCAACTGGTACATCCAGGCCACCTGCGCCACCAGCGGGGACGGCCTCTACGAGGGCCTGGACTGGCTGGCCAACCAGCTGAAGAACAAGAAGTGAGGAGCTGGTCGGGGAAGAGTCTGGGTGGAAGGTTGCAGTAAGTCTGTTGTGCTCACTAAATAGCGAGAAATCACTCAAAAAGCTCCCAGGAGATAGACTCTCCCCGCTGATATTTCTATCTTTCCGTTTCTGTACTTTTGATTCATCCGACTCGTTTGGATCTGTAGTGAGATTTTTGTTGTATTTTTTTAATTAATGATTCACAAACAAATTGTGTCAAAGCTGATCAAAACCGATCTATGCTTTTCAGACTGAACGCGTCAAATATTGGGACTTAATTGTGTAACATTACAATAAAGGCGTATGACTCTCCACTTCTTTACAGTCTGTGATTTGCATCAAATATTTGCCATTTTCAGAACATGACGGCAGAATCGCCTCACCTTAGAATCCACGACCGTGGTGTAAATTGCAAAGAATGTCGTAAACGTGCAGAGTGACAGTATGCTAGAACATCAACTCACAATTTTACATGTGGTACGCTTCTACAGGCTCAGACAATATAAGCTTTCACTAGCGTGGAATTGTGCTCCCCAGATTTTATTTACATGACAGAACGAATTAGGTTCAAGATTGTATTTATTTTAAACATATTTTTTTTCTCTATTTATTTTAAGAAACGTGAACTCTGCCGATGCCGATATGAATGATCGCCTTCGTTTGTTTATTTATCGATTGATGTCAAGCTCTAAGTGCATTGAATGATTTCTTTTTTTAATGCAACGTGAATATGCTGCTCAGGCAGCTGTGTGGAAAAAACAAAAACAAAAGAAAGCCTCTATAGTTTAACTGTGTATTATTGCTGCTTCCTAACCTGCATGGAAATATCCCTCATTTGGCCTTGTGGGAACTAATGAAGGCTTCTGCTGTAAATACTACAAAGCAAATGTTCTCGATGGCTCAGAGAGGGTTAAAGACAACTCATCCGGCCTCATCGAGGTGTGATATCCAAGCTAATGCAGACGACAGAACAGACAGCCACTCAGCTTAGCGAGGAGAGAAAAAGAAAAAAAAAAAAAGCACTGCTGTCGGCTTTTCCTGCAGAGAGTGATTCAGCAGAGCATGTGATTGGCAGTTTTTAGAGCTTATTCAGTTCTGAATGTTTATTTATTCAAAAATCCAATTTTTCTGCGTCGGCTTCTTTATCCGAGGGGCTTTGCTCGTTCGTCACACGCGTTACGGCTTTTGTTAACCAGATCTCTGTATGTGTCTCGTCGCACATTGTCATTTGTCGCTCTACACACGAACGCACTGCCCTGTTCTGCTTGTCCTTCCTGTTCCTTCATTTTGTCTAATTTCATCGTTTCAGGTCGATTTTCCTTATGCCTTGAGTTTTCGCATAGTCATAAAACAAGAGAGAGCGATTGAAAGTCATACTGCATCATAAGGCATGTTAATACTGTAAAAGATGTGTAATTAAAAGTGAAATATACTGTACTAGCCTGTTTCCTTCAGACTATATTTGTTAGTCAGAATCACTGCTGCTGGTGGGATCAATGCTGTACTAAAACAATTGTCATGAATTTGTGTAAAGTTTACCGAAAAAACCTTCTAATATGCAAACAAGCATGCTTTTTTATGTCGGCGCGCAACTGTATATACTGTATGTTACTGTGGCAGGAGAAGTGATCCACTGTTGCTCTCAGTGTAGATAAATGGGTCAGCATGTTGGCAGCTGATTACAACTGACAACAACTTGTGCGTGTGATGTGTTTATCTATCATGTTCTGTTTGCTGTGAATTTTCATTTTGTGGCCTTATTATGTCAGTGGTTTCTTTTCTCTTTGATAACAGGTTTGCTTGTGGAGAACACGTCCAGTATTTCGCCTGATATCAGTGACATTGTTGTGGCTAAACATCCTTCTTTCAGAGATTGTTATTATTATTTTTATTATCATCAACAGGCGAAGAGAAACGCGGCCGGGCAACATTTTGTTCTGATGTGTTTCCAGAAATTGATTCAGAAGGAAACTGTTAGAATGTGAACAGGACGTAAACACAAACTGGTGTCAAACTGAAGAATGATCTGATGGTTCCTGGTATTTCAAAAATCAATAAACGACCAAATTAAGCTGATTTCTCTTGTTTCTGCTTCATGTGTGATGTTTTGGCTTTGAGCTCAGTATTCGAACACTTTGACGGGGCAGTCAAGTTCAACGAATTGGGCCGTTTTTGAGAAGTTCATTTACGTCAGCTCGTTTCACCAAGTTTGATTACACACGGATGATTTCAAGCCAGCGTTATAATTAATTATGACAATTTTTTTTTGCTGAAAGCGAATTAAAACGTAGGGTTAGAATATTAGATGAGACCAATAAAAGTTAACATATAAATACTGTTTTTTAAGACATGAATGTACATAAAACATTAGAGACAGTCTTGAAAAGTCTGGAAATGCTCCAAATGTGGATTTCCTTTTTCCTAATTCCTCAGTATATTGTATAGAAGGTCCCAGAATCAAAACAAAAATTCAGTATAATACTGTATTTTATTGATGTATTCTAAAGTGATTGTGGACACCAAAATAATTACTTAAACAGCTGTAAAGAACATGACTTTACATGGTATTTTTTTTCTCCCCTCATCCAAAGCTGTTGGCATTAAGAAAACTTTGGCACAGTCTTCTAGTTCCCTTGTGGACTCATTTTGTCTGAGTTGATCAGTAGGGCATGTGGGGGGCAGAGGGGGGATATATGCAGCTGTGTCTCCAAGGGTGTGACAGCAGTATGTGAGTCGGAGCTGCTCCCAGAGCCACCAGCTCCCCCCGGGGCCCCCTGCAGGACGGCTACAATGGCGGCCACAGGGCGGATGCCATAGCTGGGATTCCCACCCGTAACCGGGACACCTTCGCCCAGGGCACAGACACACTGGCAGCAGCCACACAATCAATTCATCAATCTCTGAAGGGAGTGGTCGCTGCAAAAGGCCACGTCAGGGAGCGCTCACAGTTTGCTTCTCCACCGGACAGGGCCACCAGGAAACTGACGCAGACACTGAAGGAGATCATCACTTATTCATGTAAAGCATAGGACTAAAAACAAAATGTTTTTTTGTTTGTTTGGGTTTTTTTATGTGTGTGTTATTGATATTTCCAGTGCAATATGTCACATTCTAAACTTTTTCACACAAAATGTTTGCGTCACTTTGTGGCCGACTCCTCCGACTCCAAGGTTGTGTAAAGTCATATTTGATCTTAACAGCCCTAACTGTATTTAATGCTACATAGCATTAGCAAGCATAACAACTAATAAGTTTTTTTTTTTTTGTTTGTTTGTTTTAAATGACCTTGCATTTATGAACACACTGACACTGAGTACACCTGCAGCAGACTGGGACTCCAGGAGCCAACGCTCAGACTCTGGCTCCCCCTACCGGACAGAAATGTATAAGCCAATCACGTATGTTTCAACTTCTAGAAAAAAGCTATTATCGCTTAATTTTCTACTTCAATCCGGACAGATTTAATGCAAAAGTTTAACATCAGAAACGGGTTATTAAAAAAAAAAAGAAAAGAAAAAAAATTGTTCCTTCGCGTGGACTCCTGCACAAGCCAATAGCTTTCACGTTCCCTGTTATCTTTTCCAAAAATGAGATCGTGAGCAAATCCGTCTGAAGCACTTGCCGATAACCCGTCCATTAGCAGCGATTATATAGATTAGTCTGCCTTCTCACTTCCCCAGATTGAAGCTCAGGAATTTCTGTCTTCTCTGAAGCCATTTTCCCCCAAATTAAGCTCGCTCTTGTTTTGGGTTCAGAAGTCACTTGACCGTCAGACAATGTGGCCTTTGTGGCAGGCAAGCTCCACACGCATCAAAGAGGTGATTAACCAGTTGACGCGGCTCTGGCGGACAATACTGCTCTTTACAGGGGGGAACAGTGCGTCCACTCAGGCTTCTCGGAGCTGCGGCCACATGCAGCAGCTGAACCAAAACAACTGCAGACAGAGTCACACGGGGTGGTTCACAACAGGCAGAGTCGGTCTGAATCTGTTGGTTCGGAAAGCATGTTGTTGTTTTGCACGGTTGTATTTGTCACTTTTGGTGCTCTTTATTATTTAGTCCTGATTGAGATTAAAAGTAGACTCTCATGCATGGAGAGGGGAAAGGGGGGAAAAGACGGACCAGCTTCTGATTGGTCAATAATTCTGGCTGTGGGCCAATCAGACTCCCTCTCTCCAGGAGGGAAATTCCACGATGAGACCAAACTGCAGCTTATTCGCGGTTTTCGGAGGAATTGTTTGGATCCATCAGTCAGCTCCTCAAACTAATGTTTGGAGGAACAAATTCAATTTCACTTTGTCTGAGTATTTTTTTTTTGTGCATATATTTATCTTATCATTCTGTCTTAATCTTCGTTAGATCCACTGAATTCCTCTCCTATATTGCTAATTGGAGGATCTAAATCCTGACATGTTGAAATCTCAGTGAGCATGGACCAGCAGCAAGTCCTGTTACTTTGTGTGGCTTTGTCATGGAGGATACAGCCTGGATCCACTCAATCACATGAAGGTAGGTCAATTTATAGAACACAAAAACATTTGTCTCTAGAAATGTGGCTTCATGTTTTATTTTATACATATTTTCTCAAATATTATGTTTTTATTTGCAATGCTGACTATGAGTAACTTAAAAACATGTTGGTCTCACTACAACCACAAAGATCATTGAACATCTCAATCTCAAGCCTTTTACACCCATCCTTCTTTGAATTTCGGTCTGGACTTTGACTGGACCATTCTCAAAGTCTCTTTGCAGCTTCTAATATGTTTTTGTTGTTGTTGTTTCTATGATTGCCCCACATTTAGCTCCATGCATCTTCCCATCAACTCCAGCATCCCTGTCCCAACAATATGACGCTGCTGTTTCATAATTGAACTATTTACTAACAAAACACGAGAGTGAAGAACAGAAAGTAAGAGAGATACCTGTGGTTATACTTTTAAAACTTTTTCGAGTGAAATACATGTATATATGCATGTGTGCATGCATGTAGGATTGAATTGCAAGTGTGTTTTACTTAGGATGTTCCAACTGTGTGCAGTGTCACTGCTGACATGAAGGCCTTGGAGCTTCATGCCACTGCAGCGTGAACGATCTTGCCTCTACCTGCAAAGTTCAAAATAAAAACAGGAAGTATGACTCATGATCTGTTCCCTGCTGCAGGTGTCTAATCTCTGCACAAAATGAGCCAGAACAACGTACAGTTTTAGTCACTTGCCAGGAGGTGGAACGCGTCTCTTTCCGTTCATAATATTTCCGTTCCTCCGCCAGATCGTCCTACTCACACATGGGCCATTGTCTTTCTGGTATGAGCTCAGCAACACTTTCCCTGCAGACGCACACATACAGACACAGAAGCTCTGTATGTCAGTGCATCACTCTTCGCTCTCTGAGACACAGAGTCCACATTTATAGCTTTATCACAACGCTGAGCTTTGTCTGAGGGGGGGGGAAAAAACCCTCGACCCCTCGGCCTTTTCTTCACGACCCTGAGGGCCTGGGCTGCTCCTGCACCCGACTGCCTGTTTGCCTCACATCAAACCCCCGTGGCTCCTCCGAGCGAAACAAAGCTTGAAATTACCGCAGAAAACAACACAGCCAACGGGATTCAGGCTCACAATTTGAGCAGCTATTAGTATATTTGTTTTTTCAGGAACAGAGTGACTGGTGAGAGGTAATGGAAAGACAGATGCGGTTGTGTTCAGGTGATACTGGAAAAAGTCGGCTAAAGGCTGGGAAAATCTTGAGACCGGAGCAGAAGTTCTCCATTCAGGCATGAACCCTCAACAAACACCCACAGCTAGTGTTTCGATCAAATCCTTTTCATGTTTTACTATAGTCCAGTCAAAACGAGAACCAGCTCCATGAAGAATTCATCATGAAGAATGACATTATTTGTTCGCGGTCACTCTCCATCCAGTCTGAGTTTGTGTTGCTTTGCAAAGACAAATGAGCAAAAATGTTCACTTTTCCAGATGCACAAAATGCTTGTGCAAACCATATTTGCTGTTATTTGCAGGGGTTTTTTTGTTGTTGTTTCTTGTGAAGAGTCTGTTGTTGTTCTACATGCACAAATCTCACATTTTTAACTGTGATACATTCAGGTGCAAAATTCTTTTAAACAGAGTGTGCTACTTAAAATGACGGTACAGTATTACTTTAATGTGGTAAATTTGTCCTTACTGTAAAGTCTCTTTTCATTATTTTTACCTTGGTTTGAATATGCATGCTTCAAAGTGCTGCTGATATAAATGAGTTTCCCCACTTTGAGACTAAAGATGTTTCTCTTCCTTTCTGTTGTATTCGACACACGTATCAGGAGTGATGCATTGCATTTATAGTTTTGTATATAACTTTTTTTGAAAAGAAAACTGAATCCTTATTTCTTTCCTTCCACATTACAGTCTTCTCTGTTTTGGTCTATCACAGAAAATCCGAATCAAGTACTTTGCTTGTTGGTGCATGACAAAATGTGATTAAAGCTACAAGGGGAAATTAAGACCAATGAGCACAAAAGTTAGCAATTTCCATGACAGCTTTGATTAGGATATTATCGGGGAACTTCGGTACTCCTAATTGTTTCATGAAAACGTGTTTTTGCAAACCATACACTACTGATATGAGAAAATGTGGTATATATAAAAGTGGGGATCTTTTCACTTTCCTTCTGCCAGAGGTGTGTCCAGGTACCCAGAATGGTCTGAGCTCCACCGGTTCTCAGGAGACTCAGTACAACCTGATCAAGGAGCGCTACAGTGGCTGTGAGATCATCATGGGGAACCTAGAGATCACTCAGATTGAGAGTAACTGGGACTTCTCCTTCCTCAAGGTAAACACAGTCCCTGTGTTGTGCTTAAACCTCAGTAACAGATGTGGACCAGTGAATTAATTTGAATCTTATATGCGATCATTGTTCTCTTCACCCCCCCATCCCCTCCAGACAATCCGTGAGGTGACCGGTTATGTCCTCATTGCTATGAATCATGTCCAGGAGATTCCCTTGGGACAGCTGCGGGTGATCAGAGGAAACAGTCTGTATGAAAGACGCTTCGCTCTCTCGGTTTTTTTCAACTATCCCAAAGAAGGCTCCAACGGTCTGCGACAGCTCGGACTCCTAAACCTGACAGGTTAAAGGCGTGCGCTATATTAGAGCTAAAGAAGTACGATGTCCAGCATCCCAGAGACATACAAGAAGATGTTTTAATAATAATAATAATAATAATAATAATAATAATAATAATAATAATAATAATAATAATAATAATAATAATAATAATAATACTGAAAAAAGGCAAATCAATTCTAACTGTTTAAGACTGAAGTTTGTATCAACATATTGAAAAATTAGCTCCAGGATGATCTGATTGTTTTTTGTTTTTTTGTTCCCCAATACGTCTCTTTTATATCTTTAGAGATCCTGGAGGGTGGAGTGCAGATTATTAACAACAAATTCCTGAGTTATGGCCCCTCGATCTTCTGGCAAGATATTGTTCGAGACAGCAGCGCTCCGATTGACATCCAAAATAATGGGGAGAGAGGTCTGACTTTGAATGATCTCATCTTGGATGCACCCATTGCTCCTTCCATTGTCTCTTTATTTGCCTGTTTGTCTTCTGTCTGAACTCGTCTCTCTTTTTCTCAGGCCCGTGTCACAAATCTTGCGGCCATTACTGCTGGGGACCAAATGAGGACCAGTGTCAGATCTGTGAGTCCCTGTCACACTGTTGCAATTTCTGTTTTATAACTGTCTCATCCTTCTTTTCCATTTTTTTAATTTTTATAATTGAATAGCTCTATTCATGGACGCTCGGTTAAAGATGTTGACATACAAAGATGAGCAGACATCCGTGACCTCTGTTCAACCTTCCTGCCCTTTATCTTTTCAGTGACTAAGATGGTGTGTGCTCCCCAGTGCAACGGACGCTGCTTTGGCAGAAGCCCCAGGGACTGCTGCCACATCGAGTGCGCAGCGGGCTGCAAAGGCCCTCTGGACGAGGACTGTTTTGTAAGTTTGTTGCTGTGGGGCTTCTCAGTTCGGATGCTTTTTCTCTGTGCAGAATGGTTCAAATTGAGACACCACGGTTTTGAAGCATGTGTAAGGTCAGACCACAGCAATTATATTGGATATTTGTCGAGACTCTGACTAAGACAATCGAAACTCTTCCTTATTTTGATTTCAATTAGAGGTTGTTTTAAATCAGGCTGGTTTGATAGCTGAAAGGATGTTGTAACAGAACCCACACTTTCTTAAAAGCTAAACTTTTATGTCTGGAGTCTGTAGAATATTTTTTTCAAAGAGACCTGGAGGTCATCAAGATGTCTGTTTTCTTTGTGTTATTTTTCGTCCAGCAGTGGTTTTTACCTTGAAATTTTCCAATGGATGCCACATTCTCTTTCCTATTATTGAATCGTGAACATCAACCTAAACTGAGACAAATTAAGCTTTCAGTGGTTCAGATGAATTTTGTTGGACTCCCAAAGCCTTGAAAATGACTGATTGATAGACATTCGTTTATAATTTTCTTCAGACCAAGGCATGATGTGTTGCTTTTGGAGATATTTTTAGCCTACTTCATTTTGTCATACAGTTGCTTCTAAAGTGATTCAGGTCTTATTCCAGCCAAGGCAGGATTTGAACCCAGAACCTTCTGGTTACAAGTCACTATTAGTATGTTGCGTTTTATGCTAATCAGATCTGAGAGCCTCGGTTTCATTTTCTTATGTGCTTTTGTTACACAAACAAATGACTATAAAAGGATTTTTTGTATGATTTGGCATTACGCCCTAAACAGATATGTAAGAAATGGCAAAAATATTTCCTATGCATTGATGTATTCAGCCCTTATTAGATGTTATGCAAATAGGTCAAATGTGTTTTCTCCATCAGGCATGCCGTCATTTCAATGATTCAGGAGCCTGCGTGCCTCAGTGCCCCCAGACCCTCATTTACAACAAACAGACATTTCAAATGGAGACCAATCCAAATGCAAAGTACCAATATGGATCAATCTGTGTGTCTCAGTGTCCTAGTAAGTAATTCATGAAATGCTTCTAATTTTAAAGTCTGCTTTAATGTTCCATGTTCATTCAAAGACTGATGTGATGTGTGTGTGTGTTTTTGTGTGTGTTTTTGTGGCTTTTCTGTCCACAGCTCATTTCGTGGTGGACGGCAGCTCCTGCGTGAGCGTCTGTCCTCCAGACAAGACAGAGATGGAGAGAGACGGCCAGAGGCAGTGTGAGCTCTGCAGTGGATTCTGCCCGAAAGGTCAGCGGCACGCAAGCACCATTCAACCTTCCCCTAGCCTAGCGCTGTCTGCGATCGAAAAGCAGTGATAGATGGACTCATCCCTGCAGTGTGTAACGGCACCGGCGCAGAGCACAGGCAGACGGTGGATTCTAGCAACATTGACAGCTTCGTCAATTGCACCAAGATCCAGGGCAGCCTTCACTTCCTGGTCACAGGGATTCTTGGGTAACTCTGCTTCCACTGGAGAGCCTCACAAAGAGACGACATGTACAGTTCATCAATGATGTGTTTTCTGTTCCTCACAGAGATGATTTTAAAAACATTCCACCACTCGATGCCAAAAAGTTGGAAGTGTTCCGCACCGTGCGGGAAATAACAGGTTTGTATTTACAGATAGGTTTTGTTTTTTTTTTTGTTTTAGCTTCCAAGTAAATCTCTGTATTTACATGTTTTCCTTTTTATCAACTGTAAAGATGTGGATTAATGTATTATAAATTTAGGAGCTTCAAGGCTAATATTAGTTTGTTTTCTGTATCTAAAATGATCTCAGTGAATTACCAGGATTTATGTTATGGTAGAAATAATCTCTTTAAGCAAACCTCAGATATTCATAGATTATTAAAGAGCATCTTTCGGCATATAATAGGTACATAAAGAACTGTAATGTTTTCATTCTCAGATATTCTTAACATCCAGTCGTGGCCTAAAGAGCTGAGCAACCTCTCGGTTTTTTCAAGCCTCACAACGATTCAGGGGAGATCGCTCTACAAGTAAGGATGGTTTTGTGTGGGACACAATAAATTAACAATCTGGCGTGTAAATTAAAATCTGGGTCTGATGCTTCCTGCTCAAAATAAAACCAATTTATGTTAAATCCACATGCTCTGTTGTTACACCTATTATTATATTCTTTCCTTTCAGAATTAACATTAACATTTTCTCCACTTGCTGTGCACTGTCAGACATCCAGACTAAAACATGATGCAGACTAAATTATGAAGTCTGAAATAAAAACTTTTTTTTGTGAGCCAACCACCCTCTGTGTGTGTCCTCCAATCCCCAAACAACAAGGCGATTCTCTCTGATGGTGATGCGTATCCCCACTCTTACCTCCCTCGGGCTGCGCTCTCTGCGGTATATCAACGACGGCAGCGTGTACATCAGTCAGAATACCAATCTTTGTTTTCACCACACTGTGAACTGGACGCAGCTGTTCAGGGGCCGCAGAGTTCGGGTCAACAACCTCAACAACAACAAGCCGTTTGCGGAGTGTGGTGAGACACATTTCTTGGCACATTTTTTTGAAGCGTGACGATGAAGCACGTGTTCGATTTAAATATCACAGAGGGTCCCTGCTAAATTAACAGGGTTTTATTAAGGAAAGTGAGATGTTCTAAATCTTTTACACCTTTAATGTGACATGAATCACACAACATTCAGACAAAATCTTGTATGGTTTTTTTTAGATTTTACTTTATTTCTAACAATGCTCTCCCCTGTCAGATTTGTCTATTGCAGTTGCACAGAATATATGACATAAAAAAATGTTAACAGTGAAAAATATTCTTTCATGCATTTGCATAATGAAACCTGCTACATTAACAGGTGTGTGTACATTTAGTATCCACCGTATGTCCCAAGCTGTTACAGTCATTTAGATGGAAAAAGAGGGGCGGAAAAAAACGTTAACTTTCATCCGGTAGACATCTAATATTTTATCCTGTTTTGTGCAGTTGCAGAAGGACATGTGTGCGATCCTCTGTGTTCAGACTCAGGCTGCTGGGGCCCCGGCCCTGACCAGTGTCTCACCTGTAGGAACTACAGCCGCCACGGCACATGTGTGGGAAGCTGCAACTTTTTGTCTGGGTCAGCGGTTTTGGGTTGACGTTCATGAGACTGCACCTCATGTGTGCCTTCAGTAAAGTCGCACACGCTCTAAAAAATATTGTGTTTGCAGAGACAAGAGGGAGTTTGCAAAATCTGACAACGAATGTGCCGCCTGTCATCCGGAGTGCAAGCCTCAGAAGGGACAAGTCAGCTGCACAGGAACGGTAATATGTGTTTTGGGGTTTTTTTAATTCGTAACTAGGATAGTGTTTATAAGTTAAAATATATTTTAATCATGTCACGCAATTATTCTCTGTTGAAGAAAAAAACAGTTTGTTGAAAATTAGAATATGAAATTCTCTGCTGTGCACCTTTAATATGTTTATATTTGTTTCTCTGATTCCTTTACATTTTAAACTTTTACATTAAAAATAACACTTTGACAGGTTTTATCCTGTGCTTTCATTAGTTCTTTTTACCTCTCCTCATTGCGCTCTGTCTTTGTCTTTCGAAGGGGGCAGATGAGTGCGTGGCTTGCTCCAATCTTCAAGATGGTCCATATTGCATGTCCTCTTGTCCCTCTGGAGTATTTGATGAACACAGAGGACTAATTTTCAAGTACCCCAACAAAGAGGGCCACTGTGAACCATGTCATCCCAACTGCACACAGGGGTAAGGGTGAGATTAAAACATCAGCTTATGAATAGGTTTGTTTTCACTCACATATAAAAGTGTTATATATTCTTGGAATCCAATTCCAGTCGGAAAACGTTTGGGATTTTGTGTCGCAGGTGCGTCGGCCCAGGTTTAAAGGATTGTAAGATGTCAGGCGGCAGGTGAGTGTTTCCCCCTGCTGGTGGATATAAAACACTGCGTGTCAATGTCCCACTATAACCAGGGGATGGTTGCTTGATCAGTTTAAAGAGCCAGTTTTGCTGCGCTCAATTTTTGGCTATTGATTTTAGCTTTCAGAAATGTTGCCTTTTGTGAGTCCATATATATACATCTATACATATATACATCACAAATCTGTTTCTTCTGCAGCGGACAGATCACAGCCATAGCATTGGCAGTCCCAGCTTGTTTGATTTTCTGCCTCGGGTTGTTCTTCCTGGGGTTGTTGTACCACAGAGGCCTTGTCATCCGTCGCAAGAGAGCCATGAGAAGATACCTGGAGAGTGGAGAGGTTAGGGTTCAAACACCATATCATAAGCCTGCCACAAACATTTGCTTCAGCCAAGAGGTCCCATGCCAAAGTATTAATAACTCTTGAATATTTCCACATTTGTTACATAGTAACCGCAACCTTATATAAGTATATAATGTAGTGGATTTTGAAATGTTTATTTTCAAGGTAACTCAGTCTGTGAGATTATATTTTGAGTCTCTGTGAGCACAAATTTCAAGTCTTGCCAAAAGTTTGTTATATTTTGGTCTCAGTGAGGTAGGTTACATCTCGGGTACAACACAACCTGAAACCCTAATCAGACTGAAAGGGACACAGCTGAGGGAAAGCGCAGGCAGAAGAGAATCAGGTGAACGAGAGCAGGATGGAACGGTAAGAAAGGAGAAAATGAAATTTTGAGACGAGAATAGGAGACCATAAAGGTTTAGGGTAAATCTAAAGAACCCAACTCTAATGCACAAATCATAATAATCCAATATAAGTTTTTCAAAACCCTGTAAGACTCAGCTTGCTCTGCTTTCAACAGAGCTTTGAGCCCCTGGGTCAAGGAGAGAAAGGCACAAAGGTTTTTGCTCGGATCTTGAGGCCGTCAGAGCTGAAAAAAATCAAACTCCTTGGCTATGGTGTTTTTGGAACGGTACACAAGGTATTATTCATTTTGTCCTGGGATCAGTAGGTGTGCATGGAGTTACTATGATCTAAAATACAGTCTGCTTAAGGGCTTTTGGACCCCAGAGGGAGAGACGGTCAAGATCCCTGTGGCAATAAAGACGATCCGGTACAGCTCAGGTCGACAAACCTTCACTGAGATCACTGATGTGAGTCTCATCAAAATAATAAATATCTAAAAACATTAATGGCATGAAAGAGCTTCAATTTTGTCATAGCTAAAATGCTCCAAGAAGGAAACAGCAATGCTGGTTTTCTATTGATTTGCTGTCATATTAGTCGATGTCTAAAATGTGTTTCCTCAATTTGCAGCACATGTTGGCCATGGGCAGCCTGGATTACCCTTACATTGTTAGGCTGCTGGGAATTTGTCCTGGTCCCAGTCTCCAGCTGGTGACCCAGCTCAGTCCCCGTGGCTCCTTACTGGAGCACATCAGACAGCATAAGAACAGCCTGGACCCCCAACGCCTGCTCAACTGGTGTGTGCAGATCGCGAAGGTAAAGATAGCTGTAACTCCTCCGAGTAAGATCTTAGATTGAATGTAAAGTAAAACCATTTGCGTCTCAGGGTATGTTCTACCTGGAGGAACACCGTATGGTCCACAGAAATCTGGCTGCTCGCAACGTCCTGCTGAAGAACGACTACCAGGTCCAGATCTCGGACTACGGCGTGGCAGACCTCCTTTATCCAGATGACAAGAAATACGTCTACACAGATGCAAAGGTAGATGCTGCCATTCAGTTTGAGATCACCAGCCAATTAGTTTCTTTGTGTTTTCAAGCAATGCGCATTTCTCCACTCCATTCAGACGCCTATAAAGTGGATGGCGCTTGAGAGCATCTTGTTTCGAAGATACAGTCACCAAAGCGATGTTTGGAGTTACGGTAAGACGCCTACTTGTCATGCGCAGCGATCCATGTAGATGTTGACTACACGTAACCCCAAGAAGAGACATTAAAAGCAGCATTTTTGCTGCTGGACAGGAGTGACGGTGTGGGAGATGATGTCCTTTGGGGCGGAGCCGTACGTGTCAGTGCAGCCTCAGGAAGTGCCGAGCCTTTTGGAGAAGGGCGAGCGTCTGTCACAGCCCCACATCTGCACCATCGATGTCTACATGGTCATGGTTAAATGTGAGCCTCGAAATCCCTTCCTGTGTGGGAACACTGTGACGAGACGACGGTCTCGTCACAGTGACTGCTTCTGTGCAATCATCAGTGTACTGCTTTTTATTTGGTTTCAGGCTGGATGATTGACGAGAACGTGAGGCCAACTTTCAAAGAGCTAGCAAGTGATTTTACACGGATGGCAAGAGATCCACAAAGATACCTTGTCATCAAGGTGCAGATGCTGTTGTTTCTTGATTCAGAGCTTTTTTTTTTTTTTACCTTGATTTGACACGATAAAAGTTGCTCCTCAACTGCTGTCCTGCCACAGGAAGGGGAAGATGGCCCCCCTGGAGAAATCCAACGAAGGGAGTCAGAGCGAGGACTTCTGGATACAGATTTTGAAGACGCGGATGAGGAGGGGCTGGACAATGGCTTGACCACGCCTCCTCTCCAGCACTCTCCATCGTGGAGTCTTTCTCGTTCGAGGATGAATTCCTGCAGGGTGATAAAAAAAACAAACACATATTATTGTCTTGGTTATATTGGAATGACATATTGATTTTAAAGTATTGACACGATCAGTGAATGGCATTCTTCTTGTTTTTTATGAAACCTTTTTTAGAGTGGTGTATCTCAGTCTGGCCTGACCGGATACCTACCAATGACTCCAAGTCCAGCAGACAACATCCGTCAGGTGTGATGAGCACAGAAATCCTCTGTTGATTTCCCCAGTAAACTGGTGTTCATTCAAACCTTTTTTTTTATGTCTGATACATCTTGTTTTGTCCTTCAGCTGTCCACTTATGTTTATTGCACATACCACCACACAAGTCAGTGAATTCCACATAAGTGGCAAAAAATGGCCAAAGACAGAAAAAATGATTTGATTAGACCTTCCTCAAGTAGTACGAGGCTCACCAGAGGCTACAGTCCTCAAAACACTTGAACCTGCCTCGATGACCAGTGTATGTCTTCCTCTTCTCTCTCTCTGGCCTTTTTGCTGTCCATCTACTGTTAAATAAAGTCAATTACTGCCACAAAAACTGAAAAAAAAACTTTAAAAGATTAAAAGCTCTTAAATAAAACACACTTCTATGATTTACATGCTCATTCTTTGCTTTTTCGCTTCAGCTGTGGTTTCACCGGTCTCGCCTGAGCTCTGTGCGGACATTGCCTGAGAGGTCGGAGGTCAGAGGAAATGGCAGGGAAGCCGAGGGGTTAAGGGCCGGAAGCCTTCGCCGAGCCAGGCTCGGCTCAGAGAGGAGCAGCCCTCGTGTCGCTTTAAGTCGTCACAGGAAGCTTTCCACGGCCTCCAGTCCGTCCTCCTACAAGGTGTGGACGGCACAGGAGGACGAGGAGGAGCTGGACCACTATGGCTACGTTCTGCCTGGGTCACCTGAAACCCCAGAAAGAAGTAGGTTTTGCTTTTCTTACATTCATGTAATGAATCATCATATTCTCTGAAAACCGTCAGGTTTCGGTGTGCACTTTTTGATGAATACGGCTTTGAACTCATTAAAACCCCAAACTATTTTTCTCAGAAAACTGGAACATTATTGAGGACCAGTACAAAATGTGACCGAGTATTTGTTGAACATGACATTAAATACTTTTGAGTAGGCGGCATTTCTACATCATAAGACATTTTTTTTATTGGTCTCATTTCAAATAATCTGAGTAATCATAAAAAAAAAAAAATACACAGTGGAAACAATTTAAACATGTCATTCTGTTTTTTATGAATTTATACGATACAAGTTTCACTTTTTGGCTGATTGTATTCGTCACCTTATGAATTCTGCTATTGAGTACAAATACGTCACTCATCCAGTCGTCTTTATCTATTCTATGCTCTCAGGTACAAAAAGTAATCAGGTACCGGAGGCTTGCAAAGGAGCAGCAGCAAAGCAAAGAATGGAGAAAGATCGACACCACTGCAGGAGAGAGATCAAATCTGTGGATCATAAATCAGAGGTGGGCCGAGGGATTTGTAGGTATGAATACATGGACATCAGGCACTCAGACTCTTCAGAAGGAGGTGAGTCAGAATTGGAGAGATATGGGAGTCAAACATCTTCAACAACCGGAGCGGAGACAGAACAAACAGCAGGTGGCTTGGTCAAAGAGAGAAACGGGAAAGAAGAAACTGAAATTTGCCACACAGATAAACAAGCCGTAGTAACAGAGGATCCCAGCGGCGGTGTTGTGCCCGGGGCAGATGTTTTGGCAGCTGGAGCCGGTACGGTGGAGGAGTACGAGGAGATGAGCAGATTTGAAAAGGCGCCTGGTGAGCCAGGGCACGCGGAATATGAGAACCTCCCAGCGAAGCCGAGGGCCCGTCCCGAGGAGACAGACGGTGACAGGTGTGCAGGGATCGGGGAATACATCAAGGTGTGTGCTGGCATCAGGGAACCTGGCAGCAACACGTCGTTCGACAACCCAGACTACTGGCACAGCAGGCTGTTCCTCAAACCAGATGCTGTACGCACATAATCAGTCGGACTGGGACAGCAAAAGAGGAACGGATGCATGTTTTCTAGTTTTCTGTGATTTTTTCCCCCCTGCTTTTTTTGGTTTTATTTGAAAACAAAATAAAAAAAAGTATATATTTTTTTTACTTCACTGGTGTTTACTGTAAGCGATAATTTATGTAACCAAATACGAGTCAAGTACAGAGCCATAGATTACAAGTGTTTACAAGTTTATCATCTTCAGATAGGATGTTTTGTTTTTTACTTCACTTTTTTCCATTGGCTAATTATTATTATATCATATAATTGATTATTAAACCTCCTTTGTACTTTATATTTACATGTAAGTGAATGTTCTTTTTTAAATGTGGTTTACTGGTTTTGTGAATATTTAATCATTATATCACTGGCGTGTGTGTGTGCTGTACACGTTTTCACTATCACCACAGTAGTTGAATAAATAAATAAAAGTATTACTTTTTAATGACTGCAGACTCATTCACTGGTTTGCATTGTGCTTGAATCTTTATATAACTACCAAAATTATTATTAGCTTGTCTTGAGGGACATCATGAACAACAGAACATGACACAATGTGAGACAGAGAAATATCTCAAGAAGTGCCATTATCAAAGTATTTTTTTTTTCCAATTTGAATATATAAACGTCGGTATTTTCTTCTTATTTCTTAATTTTCTAATTTCCCCATAGTTCAGATTAGCATACAAATTCTACTTATGTGTGAAGTACTTGTCAAAAAAAATAAAATCAGAATTACGGATCCAAGTTGGCTTATTGGGGTATTGAATCAATATTATTTTATATTTTCCAGACATTGAACTCAAAGAAGCGAGTTCTCGGTGTAAATTGTAGAGATCTTTTTTTTTTTTTTTTTTACCTCCTGGGCCACGGTAGTTTGGAATGTGACGCCCCAAGATAGACGTGAACTATCTTGACTTCAGAGTGAGTCTTTGACAGCGGGCGGGATCTCGTGTTCGCTGAAGTCAAGCGGAGCGACGAGACCGGTGTTGTATCGCAAAAGGTATCCCTGTTCTTAAAGCCCCATTGGTTGCCGTGAGAACGAATTTGTCACAGCGAAATTCCTTCTCTGTGAGATGTTAGCTGAAAATCTCTTTATGCTGCTTCAATTCCAATATTGATTTTCGGAGAGTGCTGCTATTTAATTGTTCTTTCATAGCGATAACACATATATATTTAAGTAAAAATATATATGTGTGTACATATATATTTATCGTAAAATAGAAAATAGTATAAATTATGCGCTTAAGAAAATTTAGTTTTTCCGCTACGGTTAATTTTCTTCAGATGACGTTCAGTGAAAACGACTGTCGTCGGTCTGAAGGTGCTTCCCTGACCGGGGCGCTTTTTCTCGCTCAACACCGGTGCATTGCGTGCAGCGGCGCGGAAGCAGCGTGGTCCGTTCGGTGCCTGCCTGACTGACTGACTGACAACCACCAGGGGAGAAAGAGCAGAAAAAAAAGTTACTCCGAGTTCGCGGTCTGCACACTGCCAACAATGTCTGGAGATGAGGAGACACCGGAGCAGACCATCGCCGAAGACCTGGTGGTCACCAAGTACAAGATGGGAGCGGAAATCGCAAACCGTAAGAGGAAAAAAAACTGCTTGATACAGATCAGCTCATAAGTAACCCGTGTGACGTTAGTTAGCAGTGTCAGCTATCCGGGCAAAGCGGCAGTGCCATGTGCCGCAACGAGGAACAGGGCTGTGTGTAATAATAAAAAAAGAAAGTCAGTGCTTGTTACGGACACACGCACACAAAAGCGCTGGTCTTAAAACATTGATACGGACAGTATCACTTAGTCATTCGAGGTCTATTAAAATGAATCTGGCTCTATGAGCTCGGCTGCTAGCTCTGTAGCCGAGCTAACTGGCTAGCAGCTAGCTGATACTGCTAAACTATCAGTTAACAATGGAAACCCAGGCTAGCAGGAATTTAATGGAGCAGGAATTTAAATGTAAACCTTCTGCCAATTCAAACGCATACAGATTACGTTTAAATGCCACTCATTAAAAGAATGGTCATTATAGATTTAGGATTCATGTTCTTCGAAGCTAATAATAGAAGCTCAATTAAAGTGATAGCATGATATGAAGCATCCAATCTATGTTGTTTTTGACTTAATATAAATCCAGATTATGACCTAATCTTGTTTGTAATCTTGCCATCCAAAAATTTCAACTTGAAATCATTGGAGTCACTCCTTTCCATTTGCAAGCAGCTAATCAGCAGAAAATCTGAACCTACTAAAATAATAACAGTAATTGTTATTATTTGTATTATTATTATTAATACAAAAAAATGACGTAGAGGTAATTTAAAAAAATAAATTGTCTCTTGCCCTGCTGAGCATTATAGCTCAGATGACATCCTGGTAAAATGCACAAAAAAATAAATAAATAAACACATTTGAATTATTTGCTTTTATCTCCAACCCTAATCTGTTGTCCGGTCTGGAAGTTTGAAATGGCTGCAGTTATGATTTTTCTCAGGGAAAGCGTGTCCTTACTGGGATTTTTGGGACTTGTATAAAGCAGCTAATTTACTGCTTGTGTTGTCTTGGTTGGGCCTTAAATGCAGCTTGTCAGCCTTTCTGGACAGTGTTGGCTTGTTTGCGAATATAATTTTGCGAAAATGAGACGAGAACCAAAAGCGTCAGATCGCGTCAGAAACCTAAAGCCATCCTGTGTCATCTTGTGTTTGAAAATTGTTAGACGTGCAATATTTTAACTGAGCTTTATTGTCAATCCTGCTTGATTTCCTTAAAACATTACACTTTATTAAAGTACAGAAGAGATGCAGTGCCCCGCAAAAGTATTCTGCTTGAACCTGTTCACTGTTTCTCCTTGTTGCACTTTGTATTTGGGATTTTCGAGAGTCGACCAATTATTAATTTTTTTTTAACAGGACAGTTTTGGTTTTTTTGCCATTGTGGCTGTGTAGGCCCCATGTGCGTCGGATGAAAAACAGTAAAAGGCGGTTCGACAAAGTTCCGATTTTGAGAATACAGAATACAGATGATGTCTATGTTTTTGTCTTTTCGTGTAAAATGTAAAAAAATAAACAAATAAGGGTACAAATACTTTTGCATAGCACTGCATTTGTCTGATGAGCTGTGTATTAGCCTTTGCATTCTTTATTCATCTCCCTTTCATTTTGTCCTGCAGAGGCTCTGAAGAAAGTAGCCGAGGCTGCTGCGCCTGGTGTCTCAGTGCTCAGCCTCTGTCAAAAAGGAGATGAATTCATCGCAGCAGAAACCGGTAAAATCTTCAAAAGGGAGAAAGAGATGAAAAAAGGTAAATGCTTTTTTTTCTCTCACCTTCAGATTTTCTTCAGTCGGTGTTTCAGTCTCGCCTTCGTCGTTCGCGTTCTGTCCCCCTCAGGCATCGCGTTCCCCACCTGTGTGTCGGTCAACAACTGCGTGTGTCACTTCTCCCCTCTGAAAAGTGACCCGGATGTAATCCTGAAAGATGGGGACCTTGTGAAGATGTAAGCTGCCATTGTTGTGCCTACCAAAGAGGTAAACTGTTGGCAGTGACGGCTCTCCTTACCCCTGTGTCGTCTTGTTTTCTGTGTCCAGTGACCTCGGGGTGCATGTCGATGGCTTCATCTCAAATGTGGCTCATAGCTTTGTTGTTGGGGCAACCAAGGTGAGTTAGCAGCCATATCGTGCATGCACCGTTGCAGCATCGCCAGCTTAGTAGTGATTTTTTTTTTTTTTACTTGTCTATCCTCAGGAAAACCCTGTAACAGGGCGGAAAGCTGATGTCATCAGAGCAGCTCACCTGTGTGCAGAAGCTGCTCTCCGGCTCGTCAAGCCAGGAAACCAGGTGACGCCGTTTCCTTTTCATATCTACTGGCTTGCAAAGTAGTCATGCTCCTTGAACTTGTTTTTGCTCCATGCCTACCACAAACAAAAACTGGCATGCTTTTGTATTCAGTCCGGCGATTGCTGTGAGTTTTCCGGAATTACGACTGCAAGTCTTTTTGATGTACTCACTCCTTTAGGGATTTGAAAGCTTTTGACTCGTTAACAAAATGTTTTAACGCCTGAGTTTGCTGTCATGTAAACCACTGGATTGTAGCTCTGACTGCATGTTTGCAGTTACTGGACAATCAACACAACAACAGGTTTCTTATTCAGGATCTCGCTTTACTTAGCTCTATCTTCCCATTACTGCTGATCAACAGTTATCCCCAAAGCATTATGCTGCCACCACCGTGTTTCTCACAGGAAATGGTGTGTTGTAGGGCTGCGGCTGACGATTATTTTAGTAATCGAGTATTCTACCGATTATTGATGAGTAATTGGCTTAAAAAATGTCAACAAACAAGTCATTCAATGCCTCTTTGAAATAAGAAAATAATTTTTTGTCCCTAAAATGCAATAGCATGGCATTTTTTTGTACATTTGATCATTAGTAGCAAAGGAGGCATGCACAAAATGTATATGTTTTGTAAAGTTTTTCCTTAGTTATTGCTCTGTGTAGTTTTTTTTTTGTTTTTTTAAATAAATGGCATGTTTCAGAGTCTGTATACTCCATGTAGCGATTACTAGATAACCAAATTTGTTAATGATTGTTTTCGATAATCGATTCGTCGCAATAAATTTGATTAATTGCTTCAGCCCAAGTGTTTTCTGATCTTTTCCAGTGACGGTTCCACCCTCCATTCATATGATCTCTGCATGTAATCAATTTTCGGTTCTATCTCACCATTGTTCACCGTGACCATACAAATTGATTGAAGAGAATTGGTTGCACCGGATTTTATTTGGAGGTGTCATCAGAGTTCAGGAGTGAATTCAAATGTATGATCCATCTTTCAGATTTGCAATTGTAAAAAATATATATTTTTTTTAAAACAATAGATTAAAACAATAGATTAAAAGCTGATTTATGAAGCTCTACCTTGTGACGGTCTGTGAGAGGGAGAAAAATCCCAGTAAAGTTTATTGAAGTTTGTAGCTTTAAATTGAGAAAACTTGGTGTGTGAATGCTCTGACTAAACCTGAAGGATCATGGGTCGCGGCGCCGCTAACACTTCCCTCTCCTTCAGAACACGCAGGTCACAGAAGCCTGGAACAAAATCGCCAAGTCATTCAAGTGCTCTGCAGTTGAGGGTGTGTGCTTGTTTTTGTTTTTTGTTTGTTTGTTTGTTTTTTTAAATGGACGATCTGCTTAGCACAAGTTTGAGACTAAAGTCCTTCCTTCATCGTCTGCAGGCATGCTGTCTCATCAGCTTAAACAGCATTTGATCGATGGAGAGAAAACCATCATTCAGAACCCAACAGACCAGCAGAGGTGAGCTTTCTCAGCGAACCGCTGCTCACTCGGTTGTTTTGTCCGTCGCCGCCAAATGACCGCAGCTCTGTGTGTGTGTGTGTGTTTACAGAAAGGACCATGAGAAGGCGGAATTCGAAGTACACGAGGTCTACGCTGTGGATG